GCTCTCTTTCGCTGTTTTTTGCAAGGCTGCTGTCCTGCTCTGCCCCCCCGCACCTTGGTTAGGAGCTCCTCTAAGGTGTGGATGTCTGGTTGCTGTTTGCTCACACTCGTCCCTGAGCAGGACCACCTCCCCCTCCAGTTTGGTGAACTGATCCTCATGGCCATGGTGATGAGGAGGGGCCTGAGCCTGCTCTGCACTGAGGGGGTCGCTCTCCTCCTGGGGCGTGTCCTCCACTATGGTGGGAAGAGATGTTGCTGGATGAGCCTTTTTGGGTGGGATAGTGGGGGTGAGGGTGGTGCTGGGTGGAGTTTGTCTTGTGGGAGGGCATGTCACTGGTGGTGTCCTTTCTCTCTCTGCTCTCTCCTTAATGGTCTGAAAGTCTGTTTCAAACAGCCTAAGGTTACCTTGCACCATGACAGTCCCAGTCTTGTAGAGGTTGATTGTTATCATGGTGCTGTCAGGGTCGTCTGTCTCTTTGACTTTCAGCTTCCACCCATTACAGATTCCCTCTTTCCTTATGGATGGGTAGTGAAAGCAGACTGCTGAGTGCCATGCATTTGGCTGGTCTGTGAGAAAGATGAGATTACTCACATCACCGTTTTTGTAGAGGTCTGTGAAAAGGGTTTCTGGCCTCCCCTTTAGTAGATTCTGTTTAAAAGCTTTCCTCGTTGTGTCATTTTTGACCTCTGGGGGTAGAGAATGGACTCAGCGCTGAGGGGGAGTGGGGACATGGTGCCTGTGGGCTCTGCTACTACTGCTGCTGCTGCTCTGTTCTGCTGCACCGTTGCCATGGCAACCAGTTTTGTTTATCTGCTGCTGTTGCTAGCTGGCTCCTGTTTAGCTCAAAAACCATAAAAAATAGTGAAAAATCTTCACACACAAAAACAGAAGATATGTTTAAAGTTAGATTCCGTGCTTCTTTTTGATTTACTCAGTTGTATTAACTCCCCTTGCTAGGTTTGTTCTAGCTCAATTTTCTGGCTGGCTTGTTAGCCTGCTGGCTAGGTTTTTGTTGTGTAGCTAGCTAGCGAGAGTCAAAACTTCTTAATGTGAGGCGCAAAGTTACTTTTTTTTCTATTCTGATTGAATAAAGTTGTTGTTCATCCCTTCTTGTCTTGAATTCTTTTTAGATTTGAGTGTTTATCTCTCTCTCCCTGCTCCCCTCTCTCTCTCCCTCTGCTCCCCTCTCTCTCTCCCCCTGCTCCCCTCTCCCTCTTTTTCTCTCTCTCCTCCCCTCCCTTCCTTCTTGGCTCCTCTCGTCTCCCCCCCTTCTCCGGGGGGTGGGCTTACGTCAGGGGCAGGTTTCCCCTCTCTCCTCTCTTCTCCCTTCTCTTCTCTCTCTCATCTCCCCCCTCTTTCTCTCTCTCTCTCCTGGGTTTTCTCTCTTCCACTCTTCTCCCTTTTCTCCTCTCTCTCTCTCCCCTCTTCTTTTCATCTCGGTCGCTCTCTCTCCCCACTCTCTTCCCTTTTCCCCCAATTCCCCCCCTTCCTCCTCTTCTCCCCTTCCCTACTCTACTTCTCTCTCTCTGTTTCCCTTTCTATTCTCTCTCCAGATGTTTTAGGAGAGTACAGAAGCAGAACACCGCCCAGTTTTCGAGGGGAACCTGTGAGCTCCCCTGTCCCTGCAGTGGTAAATGGGCATAGAGAATCAGAGGGGCGATACCTCCAAGTGTTCAGTGAATCAGAAGACAGTTCAGACAGCTCTGATGAGCATGAAGAAGGCAAGGAGGGCACAGAGCCCAGGTACAGTACTACAGTAACTCATGCATCACATTGCACTGCCGCTGACCCACTGTTACATTGGCTCATGGTACTGTAGCACTCCTGAATTCTCAAAGCTCTTCTTGGTATTCTTGGTATGATGTACTGCTCTTTCAATGATGCTGATCCATGAGCTCACACTAATACATGATGGATCTTTTGCCCTAACACTACACAGCTGATTCAAATTATCAAAGCTTGATGATTAGTTGATTATTTGAATCAGCTGTGTAGTGCTAGGGCAAAAAACAAAATGTGCCCCACTTGGAGTCCCTAGGACCGAGTTTGGGAAACCCTGCAGTAATCCCTAAACAATTCAAGCATTTAAGACAAACGAATGAACGAACTAACAAAATAGAGAATGAACAAATGAATGAATGAATGAATGAATGAAATAAGGGATTTACAAATGCATTTCCGCAGTGAGTACCATGGCAATTATATTTATTGGTCTCAATAAAGGGTTGAAGTGACCACCAAGTATTAATAAATAATGCTCTGTGGCAATCCATTTCCAGACAACTCTATTAGTTCATCAGTCCCACAGATAGATGAATACAGTATAAAGGTGGATCCTCAGGGGAACCATAAAGCTGAGAGGATAGGATGGTGCCTAGATGGGATGGTGCCTAGATGGGATGGGCTGAAAGACACTTACAAACAAAAGGGGCTACCAGAACCCCTGCTCTGGAATAGCAGGGCATGGCAGACATACAATATACGTTTTGTTTAAAGATAGTCATTTAAATGTGTTGAATCAACATTGTTTACACATCAATGAAACAAAAACATATATATTATATGGTTGAATCAACGTGGAAAACTGGTTGTGTCACTGCCTTTTGATGTGATTCTAATGGACATGAATGACAAATGAGGGCAAAGTAACCCCAAGGCTAGACCTGGCTAACAAGAGCTACTCTATTAAAGATAATGAGATTACGGGGCTGTGAGAATATCCACTCCCAAGGCTGACACTGCTGTCAGCCAAGTGCTCTCACTTGTCTGCCTAGAGCTTAGCCCACCCCTGAAGTAGAGCAGATAAGACCCTACTACCAAAGACAGTACAGTATGAAGATAGGCTAAAACTGATCTCCAATAGAAATCCCCAATCACACTTGTAGGCGATGTCATGGCGACGTTGGCTAGCTAAGCTCATGCGTAGAAACACGTCATCGGGTCTAACGGTCGTCTCGCGCCGAACTGCGCATGTGCAGGCCGTCAAATCAAAGGCACTCCTTCGATATAAAGTTGTTTTTCACAAAAATTAAAACGTGTCAGTTTGTCACTTTCACGAGGTTGGAGTAATAACATGTTCAACTACTTAAGACATTGGCTCGAATCTAGGTTGTGCCTTTAGATTTCAAGAAAATGAACAACTAAGGAATAATATTTATCTTCTCTCATTGACTTCTCAAACCCCAAACCCCGGCATGATCTGTTTGGTCTGTTTCGCAAGCTTTCCCGGAAGTCTCACGATGTTGCGCCTCTGGGTTTAGAAACTCTGTGCTACTACCATCAGCACTGATGCTTTGGAGATTACATTTCCTGTAAGGGAGAGCCCATATAAAAACACCCACTGCCCAGTTCCTGCCTGTAGTACGGCATTATCATAGGCAGAAACAAACCCATACCGATCAGTGTGAGGTTACTCTATTAAAGAGCACTGAAACACCACAAAGGATAAGGTGATGTCCCAGAGAGCTGAAACACTACCGCTCAGAGCTCTCAGAGCATGAAAGCATTATAATATAGAACCCTGAAATTCAATGCAGTGTGTGTAGACACTATTTTGCAGATTGATTGTCGGAGACATGGTTACATATCGGGTTGTGTTTTGTAATGAAAAACCTTGTAGTGTTTTGTTTACTATCTTGTGTGCCTCAGTGTGTCTCATTAGCGTTTCTAATAGTCTGTATTTCATAGTGTCAGTTGTCTTCATTGTGTCAGTTCTCTTAGGCCTAGCTTCTAAGAGTGTCTTATAAGCGTCTTATTACCTAGCTATACCTTTATTCCTCTTATGGTAGGAGGATTATTTGGCAGAGTCAGTCCATCTCTGTGAGTCTAAACTGTGCAGTGTTCCATCCCTGCAGGTCTGCGTCTGCGTGGGAGACCTTCTGTACGGGGCTGGAGGAGTTCCTGGCCAGGGCACGGGAGCGGAGGGCACAGAGAGAGGCTCCGGGAGACGACCAACAGATCCTGCCCACAGCCGTTGGAGCTGAGTCACTCATCGTAGGGGCTGCATCGTACAAATTAAAGACATTGTGAGTAGCAGTATGAAATGAGGACAGGTGCAATATATCAGATACAAAGGGACATACAGTACTGTGCTAAAATGAAAAAGATTACAGTCAAAATGTAACGGAGGAAAATGATAAAGTATGAAAAATGGGTACTGTATAAACCATGTGTTCAACATTCTATTTGAACCCACATTTTTATGACTCAAGTAGGACATAATAAACTGAATGTTTTAGCCTCAAGACCACACAGGCAATGCCCTTAAACACAATTACCCAGTTAGGATAGGGAACAGACTGGGTACACTTTCTAGTTAGCAGGCATTCACATTTCCATCCTTCCTCTCCTCTTGGACTGAGTGGATTCCCTCCAGGTTTTTTTAAATCGTTTTTATTTATTTATATCTTCAATCTGAAAGAGGCCTTGTTATTATAAGTCCCCTTCTGTAAATCAGGTCTGTGTCCCACCCTTTGTGGCCTGCATCCCTTCCACACCCTCTCTCGGCTTGCCTGTGTCTATTTCCAGAGAATGGCTGAACTGAATGCTGCGCTGTGAGGGAGGTAGTGTGTAATTACCTCCCAATGAGAGAGAAGCAGCAGCAGCGGCATACTGCTTCCCTTTCCACTGCTGCCCCCACCCTCCCATCTTATCTCTGTGCCAATGGCTTCAACATGGCAGACAGGCTCACCCCACCTCCCCCCTCTGCCATCCCGATCCCAGCCTCCACACTTTCACTGTTTGTCCAGTAAAGTGAATGCTGAGCACAGAGAGAAACAGAGAGTTTGCAGCTTAGGAGTGGTTCAGCTCTGCTGCTTTAGCTCTTCACCAGTGCATTGAATGTGCTCCTTAAAATAGAAACAGTCATATTAATTAAATGTGGAAGTATTAAGCTTTTAACCTGGTATTACCCCAGTGGTTACTTATGGACATAACAATCAGTATTAACCGAGATGTTAATGGCCATAAGGAGAGTGATCAACTCAGGCATCGATGCTAGCTAGTTACCATAACTGGTGGGGATCATCACTAATGCATACGATGCAGGAGAATAAGAGCATTACCGGTAATGGGGATGATATTAGTGGTCATCATGTGCATTACCGCTATAGTAATGGCTATTGGCAGAAATAGGGACAACATTGAGTGAAAGCAACAAATAACACTAACTGAAAAACAAAAACAACTGACCTCGTTTACCTTTCAGGTCAACAGGAGAGAAGGCGCTACAGTTATCTCTAATGGCTACCAGGAAATGCTATCGGAACTGTGGAGTGGGTCGCTACATCATAGAGGTAGGGTGGGGCTGGGGCATGTGTCTCTCAGCTCTGTGTGGATATATAGTTTCCCAGTGGCTATGTAAACCCTGCTTTATTGAGAACCTTAAATTAGAATAAATTCTCTCTGTAATGCTGGGCTATGCTGCTTTGAAAAATAGGAAGGAGCAAGATGAAAAAATAGTAGGCAAATCCAGTTAAATATAACATTACTAACTAAACGTGATACATAATGAAAGGTCAATTTACTGTAACCATAGAGAGTGAACTATACAGAATGTACATTTTCTTTAACTATGGACCAGCAGTCTGTTATTATGTCAGGAGTTAGGGTGTGTCAGCCAAATCAGGGCAGCGCTCTGGCTGCTGCCACAGTCCCTCATCATCTCTGATCCGCTCTGTCTCTGTGTGTGGTTAGAGCTCCCCTGCTGGCCATGAGAGGGCTTACAGCTCTTCACACTGCAATATTTCACGTGGTTGTAAATGTCAGTCCCAGTTCTACCACCAACATCTGTTTTTGATGATGGTGCAGTATTTCAAAAGCTTACCTTTGTTCTCTGTGTCCCTCTGTGGTGGTCAGCTACTGAAGACCCAGTCTGTGTGTGGAGCCTACGATGCGTTCCTCGCTCACTTCTTCTCATGCTGAGGACTCACTGACGATGCCCTGCTCAACGACAAGTTCCGGTACTGAAACACATCACCACCACCACCAGTGAGCCACCTCACATTAACCACACAGGGAGCTCAGTACAGGCCATATCAATGAATCAAGCCTTACCATGTCCTCTCTCCTCTCGTTCTCCAGAGTCAGAGAGCCTTAACCCAGGGTTTTCCTTGATGCTGCCGGAGCTCGAGCTGGAGGTGGAGATGGCGTGAGTTGAGCACCCAGCATGGTGCTCTCCCGCTGTGTCCATACAGACCTCCCCTGGTTAACATTGTTTCTTAGAGCAGAGAGTATATAACGTAACACATAGGTTACACAGCAATGTCTCAGTATTATTACTGGCTTTTTTTTGCCTCTTGCCAGGATGTCATTGTAAATAAGAATTTGTTCTTAATTGACCTGCCTGGTAAAATAAAAGTGAAATAAAAAGTGTTTCTCTATGTACACTGAGAGAGTGTCATCATAACATAAGACCACATATTATGATGTGCCCTGCTTGTCAGGGTTGTGCCCTGTCAGATGCTAATTGTTGTGTCTTTATCTCTGTCAGGAGGACTAAGGCCCTGGCAGCCTATCAGCAGCAGGCAGTGTGTGTGACAAGGCTGGTCAGAGAGGTCAAGACCCTTAGAGAACAGGTGAGACTAACCAGCCACACCTAATAAGAGGATATTTTATGGAATATAAAGCCTTGCTAGATAACTGTACATTCAATACATTTGTGTTAAAACATTCAGCTGGAGTTACAGAGGAGAGAAGTGGACAACCTAAACAATGAGTTGGACAAGGAGAGAGAGCGACGGCACAGAGTAGGTCTGTTTCACAACGGTTTCTTGATCACGGTAGTGTGTGTCTGTCAGTGTCAGGCCCTACTTACAGTAGTTGTGATCAGACTTATCCACAATGCTGTATAGAATTCTAAGGTATTCATTCATGTGTTCTGTTTATGTGTATAGAACAGCAGTTCTTAGAGTATAAACTAAGGAAGAAATGACAGCTTCTAGAGAGGCAGGTGATTTGCGACTCAGGTCAGTGCTTATAGCTTTGAATACATGTTCTAATGTGTGTTCTTGAGTTCCCTGTTATTAGTTCTCCCAGCACCCTGTGCTGACCATACTACGTTACTGATATAGGTTACTGATAAGAAGTTGTTATACATTACTGTAGATCTATGTTTGAATGTGAACATAAAACAGTATTACTTTGCTATAAGGGTGTTCTGTTTTTAGATGATTCCGACCAGAATGACCCAGAATCTCCCAGTGAACCCATCAGCTCACCTCCTAGTCCTTTGGACCTGTCATTGGATGCAGAGATGTAGGAGATAGAAGCTGAAGATGGAGTCAAGCCGAAGAAGATTCAGGTGCAATATTTTCAGAACAAGAATTATTGAAATATTACTTTCTATTTTGGACAAAAGGCTCATAACTAGTGGCTTTGAAAAATGATTTGTTTATATATTTTTTTGCAGGAAACAAGAGCACTATTATGTAGACTTCAAGGCTACACAGGGCGCGTGTGTGTATGTGTGTGTATGTGTGTGTATGTGTGTGTATGTGTGTGTATGTGTGTGTATGTGTGTGTGTATGTATGTGTGTGTATGTGTGTGTATGTGTGTGTATGTGTGTGTATGTGTGTGTGTATGTGTGTGTATGTGTGTGTATGTGTGTGTATGTGTGTGTGTATGTATGTGTGTGTATGTGTGTGTATGTGTGTGTATGTGTGTGTATGTGTGTGTATGTGTGTGTATGTGTGTGTGTATGTGTGTGTATGTGTGTGTATGTGTGTGTATGTGTGTGTGTATGTATGTGTGTGTGTGTATGTGTGTGTATGTGTGTGTATGTGTGTGTGCGTAGTTTATCCATATTTCATTCAGACTATTGTGCTGCACTGTATGTCTACCTCAGTAGCTTTGAGGAAATAAAAGTGAATGCCTGACTGAATTAAAGAATTTAGAGCTCAGCTCAGTGTGTTTATCATGTTTTTATCATGTTTATATAAAATCTCATTCCAACCCTTATTAACATAAAAACCCTCTAGCCAACCCTTATTCAACATTGCTGTGATTTAATTTATTTAGGAAGAAGTCAACATTATAAAGATAAGCAGAAAAACAGCAAAATTAGGAATTTCTCACACAGTACACACTGTTTCTACACTGAGTGTACAGAACATTAGGAACTGTCTAGTTGGCTCTGCACCAGGTTTCCATGGTTACCCCACATGGGTTACCCCGCATGCTGTAGATAACCCGCAGGCCAGTCTCATCAGCAGCAAAATCAATGTCGGTCCAGTCTTTGCAGTTGTAGTAGCAGTAGGGGAACTGGTTGTTGTAGCCAAATTCAGGTATCTTCAGACGACTTGTGACCTTGGTCTGTAGGTCATAGTGGCCCAGCTCAGCGGAGTTGCAGCAGTTATAGAACACTGCCTCACCATATACCACGGTGCAAGAGCCCTGGATGGCATTAGCATGGTTGTGGGACGGTGCCTTGGTCACATCCTCGTGGTTCTTGGAGGTCATGAAGTCGTCGTAGGGCCTGTAGCGGTGAATGATGTTCCCCAGTCTGTGGCCGTTCACAAGGGGCTGAACACAGTAGAAGTCCCCACTGCCCTCCTGGTCCTCCATGCCCTGCTTGGCCTGGCGACCCCAGGAAACAGACGTATAGCTTTTGCCGTACAGGCAGATATTTGTGACCACAGGGGTGCTGATGTTGGACATGATGCGTTGAGAGCAAACACCTTGCTTGCCTGGGATAAGAGACAATGGAGATGATCAGAGGGTCATGTAGTCATGTAGTCATGTAGTCATACATTTTCTACAATGCGTTTCTCTGAGATAGCTCAGATTATGCATTAGCCTTTTTCTCACTGTTGATTTATTGCCATCATTTGTATTTGTATTGATGTATACTGAACAAAAAATATAAACGCAACATGCAACAATTTTAAAGATTTTACTGAGTTACAGTTCATAGAAGGAAATCAGTCAGTTGAAATTAATTCATTAGGTCCTAATCTATGGATTTCACATGACTGGGCAGGGGCGCAGCCATGGGTGGGCCTGGGAGGGCATGTGCTAGTGGGTCTGGGCAGGTGTGATATAGTTGATGTTTGTATGATGTAGTTGTTTGTGTATGTGTATGTTTTGTATTCTTTATAAAATATACAATAAAATCATACAAAAGAAGATTGGGCAAGATGACGTGTAGTAAAGGGAACTATACTGAATGTACCTCGTTGGTCAGTTTTTGAGTCTGATCACTTGGCTTGTCTTGGTGTATGGAGCCTCCAGCTCCCTCAGTTCCTTTACTAGCTGACGCAGGTGCAGGGAGGTGTACAGACCCTGGTCATTCAGGTACTGGTATGACTCCAGGCTAGCTGTCATGTTCTCAATGGTGGCCTGGATCCAGTGGAGGCTGGTGGGACGAGCTATAGGAGGACAGGCTCATTGTAATGGCTGAAATGGAATTAACGGAACAGAGTCACTAATGTGGTTTCCATATGTTTGATGTACTTGATACGTTCCATTAATTCCATTCCAGCCACAACAATGAGCCCGTCCTCCTATAGCTCCTCCCACCAGCCTCCTCTGCCTGGATCTGAGGAAGCCTCTCCTTGGAAAGCATAACCTAACAATCAGTTGAGAAATTCAACTATCAATCAACTTAAAATGCACACTGATTACCGCAAGACATAATTTAGATTTTGATCATATGTCCAGGGTTATGTTGTTTGTGGAACAGGAAAACATGTCAGAACATAATCATAGCCCACTGTAACACACCTAACCCACTTAACACACATTAACAGTGCCTGGAGTTTTTGCAAAAAGTCTCCACAGTCCTGCACCAGTTGCAGTACCCCCTCGAACTTCAGACCAGGGGTCTCCAGCCTTTTCTAGCATGAGAGCTACTTTTAAAAAAAGAATACATGTTGCAAGCTACTATTCTTTTTATAGCTTTCAAATAGGCACATTCTTCTACCGGGTCCTTGTTTGTTTTTTATACTCTCAATATAACAATTATTAATAGAGAAAAAATTAAAATGGATGTCAGTGCTTAAATCACATCAGAAGGCCAATTTTGAGGTCTGAAAAAAACTAATTTAGATTTATTTGTATAATTCCCCTTTAGTTGCGCATTTAGAAAGAGAATAATTGGTCTAGCATTGTTTCTGTGAGGCCTACTGCTGCAGCATATGTCATGGGAGAGTTTGCAAAACAATGACCACCCAATTGATACAAATAATCATGATATCTTTCTGTCAGGTAAGCCTACTTTGCAGTTAATATTTAATTGAGAAGGTTTTTGAGGAAAGTCTTCCCACAAGACCATTATCAGTACTAGCAAATCTGGCTACATAAGGAGTGATCAACAAATACATGCAGCAAACAGACAGACCAACCTGCTCTCAGAGCATTTCGAATTATTCTGTATGTAAATTTGAGACACCCCATTCAGTATGATATGCTACGTTTCGTATGTTATGTATTAACCAGGGGTGGGATCATGTTAAAGTGGCTTTGATTGGATAGTAGCTGGGAGCTTTATGTTTATGACAGTTTGCAATGGGTCCTGTTGGAGACCCTGGGCCTAGATACTGTTCACCTGGCATGAATACAAGTCATCCTTTTTGAGGCCAGGGATGCGCTGGGTCACCATTACCCTTTGTATACACAGGCGCAGTATGCAGAGAAAAGCATGTTATTCTATTTACATACACCCAAATAAAAACACCTACATCAACAAAAAATACTATCAATCCTTTAGAAATAAGTAATAAATGGCACATAACCATAAGAACAATTGAGGTTTGCTGTAATAACAATGAACATAAACCTGTGGAAATTTAAAAAAGATATTAGATGAGATAGGAAACGTAAAACAGTAGACAGGCAGTGTGGACAAAGAGTAGAACTCACAGTGGATGTCAGGAGCAACAGGACCAAGAACATGGTCAGCATTAGAGTACCCATGGCACACTGAAATGAAAAGGAACAACATTGGCTTTTAAGCACACACACACTCACAGATGCACAAAGCCACAGATGTTACTACTTTTGCCATAGAAGGCAGTTCCGTCTATGTAAATCCAGAGGTTATGAAACCATCAAACCAAAATACGGACATGTCCTGGGGTTGTGGTGTCAGTGACAGGAACAATGTTCCATATTTTTACCTCTGTGCAATTCACATTTCCCTTACTGCGCAACCCACTTTGCTGAGGTCCACATTTCACTAAAAATATTTTTTGTGCGCTGTGGATACATTTACACACCAGCATATCTACACTGATTCTGAGCTGGAGGCAGAGTTTGAGGAAACATTCTCAAATAATGCAATCACCCAAGCATTATGTGTCTTGTGTAGTGGGAAATGCCTTCGCCCCAGATGGTTTTCCAGCTAACCCCACTACTACTTCATATTTGGAAAGTGGTACTCCTTTAAACACCACACTAGCTCTAAAATGGCTTTGGTTTTCGCCAGGCATAATGGGACCCATCGCGTCCTAAAAGTTGACTCAATTTTGCCAAAAAGCACCTGGATGATCATCAAGACTCTTGGAATAACGTTCTATGGACAGATGATTCAAAAGTATAACTTTTTGGATGACATGGTTCCAGTAATGCCTGGCGAAAACCAAACACTGCATTCCACAGTAAGAACATCATACCAAAGGTCAAGCATGGTGGTGGTGGTGTGATGGTTTGGGGATGCTTTGCTGCCTCAGGACCTGGACGACTTGCCTTAATAGAAGGAACCATGAATTCTGCTCTGTATCAGATAATTCTACAGGAGAATGTCAGACCATCCGTCTGTGAACTGAAGCTGAAGCGCAGCTGGGTCATGCAGCAAGACAATGATCCAAAACACACAATCAAGTATACATAAAAATAGCTAAAAAGCAACAAATTGGAAGTTTTGGAATGGCCTAGTCAAAGTCAAGACCTAATCCCAATTGAGATGTTGTGGCAGGACTTGAAACGAGCAGTTCATGCTTGAAAACCCACACGTCACTGAGTTAAAGCAGTTCTGCATGGATGTCACGATCGTCGGGAACAGAGGACCAAGGCGCAGCGTGGAAGGTGAACATATCTTTATTATTGAGTAATACCACGAACAAAACAATAAACGATAACGTGACGTCCTCGGTTCAGACACAAACCTAAACAGGAACAAGATCCCACAAACACTGTGGGAAAACTGGCTGCCTAAGTATGGTTCCCAATCAGAGACAACAAGCAACAGCTGATACACGTTGCCTCTGATTGAGAACCACACTGGCCAACATAGAAATACTAACCTAGAACGAAAAACAAATGAAAACTCACACCCTGGCTCAACATACTAGAGTCCCCAGAGCCAGGGCGTGACAATGGAAGAGTGGGCCAAAATTCCTCCACAGCGACGTGAGAGACTGATCAACAACTACAGGAAGCATTTGGTTGGAGTCATTGCAGCTAAAGGTGGCACAACCAGTTATTGAGTGTAAGGGGGCAATTACTTTTTCACACAGGGGAATTGGGTGTTGCATAACTTTGTTTATGAAATAAATATGTCATTGTTGTGTTGTCTGCCCACTTATGTTCCCTTTATCTAATATTAGGTTTTGGTTGAAGATCTGATAACATTCAGTATCACAAATATGCAAAAGTAGAGAAAATTAGAAAGGGGGCAAATACTTTTTCATAGCACTGTAGTTGCCATGTCCAGTGGTGTAAAGTACTTAAGTAAAAATACTTGAAAGTACTACTTAAGTAGTTTTTTGGGGTATCTGTACTTGACTTTACTATTTATATTTTTGACAACTTTTACTACATTCCTAAAATGATGTACTTTTTACTCCATACATTTTCCCTGACACCCAAAAGAACTCATTACATTTTGAATGCTTAGCAGGACAGGAAATTGTCTAATTCACACACTTATCAAGAGAACATCCCTGGTCATCCCTACTGCCTCTGATCTGGTGGACTCACTCAACACATGCTTCGTTTGTAAATGACGTCTGAGTGGTAGAGCATGCCCCTGGCTATCCGTAAATTTACTAGAAACTAGAAACTAGAAAAATGATGCCGTCTGGTTTGCTTTATATAAGGAATTTGAAATTATTTATACTTTTAGTTTTACTTTTGATACTTAAGTATATTTTAGCAACTACATTTACTTTTGATACTTAAGTATATTTAAAACCAAATTATTTTAGACTTTTACTTAAGTTGTGTTTTACTGGGTGACTTTCACTTTTACTTTAGTAATTTTCTGTTAAGGTATCTTTACTTTTACTCAACTATGAAAATGGGGTACTTTTTCCACCACTGGCCATGTCACACGAACATGTTTAGTTTCTGTTCCTGATTTTGTCCCTACCACACACAAAACATACTCAAAAAATGACATTCTCATCATTCTTTCTTCCCTCTTTTTCTTCTCTTACCATTATTCTCATCAGACCACACACCATGTGCCTTCTGTCTTATTGCACCAGCGAGAGTCTCAGATCCCCGCTCATATTTACATGGGTCTTAGAGCAACTGGTCTCACATCCACTCTGTCGTCTGGCCAAACATGAAGTCCTCTCTGGTGTTCACGTTGATGATCACTGGACTTGTCTCCATCCTCCCTCAGGTAAGGACTACTGTCCTGCTCAGCCCAGAATATATGTTGTCTATATGACATGTAGGAACAATAGAGCAACAGCAGAATCTTTGAAAAATAAATGTCAATAATGTTCTGCAGGTGTGTACTTTAATATTGTTTGCTCTCTCATTTCTCCCACTTCACAGGCCCAGTCTTCGCCCAGTGATTGTGTGTGTAACCTGAAGAACTCTGAGCACCCCTTCCCTCATGACAAGCTGCAGACTGTAGAGAACAGTGCCTCAAAGTGCACTAAAAACATCACTCCACAGCAGGTAAGAGACAGGCTTCTGAAATCCTATTTCTAAATTCCCACTTTCTCTAAAACAATTACTACAAATAAATAGTGAATAAAATAAGATGAAGAAGAAGCAGATATTCCACATCATTTCATTGTGTATAAAAGTAAAGAAAGTAATAGTGTACTCTTAGAAAAAAAGGTTCCAAAAAGGTTATTCGGCTGTCCCTATAGGAGAACCCTTTTTGGTTTCAGGTAAAATCATTTTTGGTTCCAGGTATAAGCATTTTGGGTTCCATGCTGTGGAAAGGGTTCTACATGGAACCCAAAACAGTTCTACTTGGAACCAAAAGGGTTCTATCTGGAACTAACAAGGGTTCTTCAAAGGCAATGGCGACAGCCGAAGAACCCTTTTATTATTATTATTTTTTTTTTTTGAAAAAAACCTTTTAGGTTCTAGATAGTACAATTTTTTCAAAGAGTGTATCTCCTGTTCACCTTTAGACTATGGAGGTGGAGGGTCTGTTGCTGGGTCTGAAGAGGCGTCTACCTCAGCTGGAGGCTGATGTGTCAGTGCTGGAGCAGGAGGACGATGGGGGTCTGTACGGGACAGTGTCTCTTCAGGTCATAGAGAATGAACTGTCTGAGATCCAGCAGCTCATCGCCAAACTCAACAGTACCACTCACAGCCACCAACGCCTCAACGCAGACACTGCTGAACAGGTAAGGAGCTTCACTGGAGATCAAACTCTATTTTACTCAAGAAGTTGCCTAAAATACTTTACCTTAGCAATGGGCATGCCATTATAGTTACATTATATATGAACATGTATGACTACCATATATAGTATGAGTTTAGAGGCGTTGTAGAGAAGCGTGGATCCTCAGTTTGACTATGTGTATTGAGGATTGGTCAGATGCTCTTCTTCCCAGCTGCAGGAGCTTAAAGAAGAGATGGGGAAGCTGGAGAAATTTGACAACATGCAGGTGGTCAGGGGAAAGGAGGTTAACAAACGTCTGAGGAGGGACCTAGACCAGTGCAAGAACGGCAACCATCCTACTGCCCCACCCCCTGAACCTGCACCTGGTTCGTCTCCTCATGCATTCTCCCACAGCAATGCCTGTATTGAAATTTTTGACACTGTCATCATGTTCATTCTGTGTCTCATGTAGGAAACTGTCCCCTGGGCCGCCTCCGGAGCGTGACTGGTCCCAACACATATACAGTTACTGAATATGCCGCCGCATATCCTTATGGCTCCTGGGGTCGCGACCCCAAACCTGCTGCAGGGAAGGAGAGCTGGTTTTGGATAGTGCCTTTGACTTCAAGCAATGTGTTCTCTAACTTTGTGAGACTTTATAGCAGCCTGAGCTCTCTGGTTGTGGGGGTCAGTGTTCCAGGAAGTGTGGTGATTCACTCCTCCAACCCCACCACCAACACCATCCAGGGGCCTAACGTTGTCATGTACGGGGACGCCCTCTACTACAACTGCTACAACAAGGACGCTGTCTGCCGTTTCAACATCACCGCCAAAACGGTCACCCCCATGGTTCTGCCCAAAGGTACTGGGTTCAACAGCAAGTTCAACTTCTGCCATCTGGATGCTTGCTACGGTTACACTGACATGGACCTGGCTACTGATGAGTCTGGTGTCTGGGTGATCTACAGCACCCCTGATAACTTTGGTAACCTGGTCCTCGCTGAGGTGATCCCTGGCAGTCCTCCCACACTAGGCCGGACCTGGACCACTTCAGCTCACAAGCGTGCTGTGACCAACACCTTTATGGCATGCGGTGTGCTCTACGCCACGCGGTACCTGAATAAGGAAGCTGAGGAGATCTTCTACTCCTTTGATACTGTGAGCGGCCGGGAGCGATATGACATCGGTATAGAGATCAAGAAAATGTCCATCAACATCCAGTCCCTCAACTACAGCCCCGTTGACCACATGCTGTATGCCTACAGTGATTCGATGGTTGTTTCCTACAAGGTTCATTTTGGGTAAACTATATACATCAACATTTGAGTCTCATCTAAATAAAAAGTGTTTATTGCTCACTTGACAGTGTGTATTTTGTTGTGTACATATCTTTAACACATCCAGTATCGTTGGAAGCAAGAGAAAAACAAATAGTGAATTTTGACATTTTTTATAAAACCAGTGTTGCAAAGAAATTCACTGACTAAACATGTGACTCTATGCTGACAGTCTTTATTTGTTTTCATTACATGTTCAATACATGGACAGAGACAGCTTACAGTGTATATCTATATATATACATTTAAACTTTACATTTCACATTTTATGACGAAGCAGGTAAGAGTCAATCCTACTATCTCTGTGAACAGAAACAATGTTGTGGAGACTCCCACGAAACCAAACAGTCAGAAAACAACATATTGCTCAATATAAATCAATCAATAACACTGTAATAATAATAATAATACACAAGTACCAATAATACCAAAGAAAACTCAATTATATTGTTATATAAAAAGAGGAACTCAAGGAAAGAGGAGCCAAAATGCTGAAATGTCACAATACAATAGTGTTGGAGTGCTCTTTCAGTTAACCTGCTCTAAAAACATTGAGTATCTACAGTGCAAGGAGGACCTGGAAGGATGGGGGTTCTCTTGGAAGAGTTAGTAGGAGGTAAGGTAGGGGGGTCAGGATAGCAGGGACAAGCCCTAGTGGGTAATGGTGGTGGGTGGAAGGGGGCACTTTGCCTATACTGTACAGCACTTCAATGGGACAACTTACATTCAGGGCCCCCCAGGCAGTATGTATGAGACTGAGGAAGGGGGCAAAATCAGGTCCGCTCAGAGCTGACAGCAACAGTAGTCTTACAGAGAGAAAATGCATGACCACAGGTTTGAATATCACACTCAGGTGCGTGCAAACAGATTGGAGGAGTATAAAGGAGTGTTTGTTGTTCTGACTAGTCCCAATATCCTCTCACCGAAGCCCCATTTTCATACCCCCTTTTACATGTTTTATCACCCCGCTATTATCCCCCTTTCAGGACATTTTGTAGACCCGTCGCTCTCACACTCTCTGCATCTTCACAAATTCATCCAGATAGAATCTGTCCTCATCCCTCGCTCTTTGTCAGATAAAGCTATTAATTAATTAATTAATTCCTCTTTCCTACAATCTTCCCTACATCCCCCTTGGGGTCCCTTGCACATTGGTACACTGTTGCTAGGCAGCACTATGAACAGAAAAGTGACCTCAGCTGATAGCCCTTTTGGGGCGACTGGATGTGTCTGTGAGGGGCGGGGCACCTTGTGGTTTTGGTTTGAGGTGGTTGGGGGTGGGTGTTGCCTTACATTCTGAGCTTGGAGCAACGGGCTCCAAAAAAGCCCTGCCCCTTACAGACAGTCCCAGGAAGCACCCCTGCAGTAGTATTTATCCCACTTCACCCCTGTCGGGGGAAACGGAGAGATTGACATTCAAATAGATGACAGGGAGTAGTTGTTACTGAACATAAGGAATGCAAATAGAATGTAGAAAGTTATTACTGTGCAAATTGTCAGGGACCCCAGTTCCTCCTCAAAGGACTAGCCTGACTCAATGGGTAGTCCATCACAGCAGCTAGCAGCACACACCTAGCCTCTCCAGTAACAACGACTATTATTCCAGCTCAATATCATGGGGGAAAAAGAGGTCTGTGGGGTGTTAGGTTATTCATTATCTATGTAAGTTATGCATGGGTATGGATGTAAATACAATAACATTTGTTTTGTGATGGCACATTTACTGTGACACATTGACAGTGTGTTTGTGTGTGCGTGCGTGCATGCATGCATGCATACGTTTGTGTGGACATGCGTGTGTTTTGTGCTACTGTGTCAAGAAGTGCCGATAGACTTTGGCTCGGTTCCCTTACAGAGTCCAGCCCTCATAGGTAAGTGTGTGTATAGCTTTGGTATATTCTCTGTGTGGGGCTGAGTGCTGCAGAAGGAGAGGCCAGCTGTAGTCCCGTCCTGTGGTGCTGACATGAGAGAAGAACATCTCAGATCTAACGGGTTCTGCCTCGGCTCCTAGGTCTGGTTTGGTTTGGGTCAAAGTATGATTGTCATTTGGGAGACCACTAAGAACCGATCCTCAGCAGAACCACTTCCATGTTGGGGAGGTGGAGATCACCGTGGCCACACTAACTATATAGGAATGGATGCTCCTACTAGTGGAATCATATGGGTATATAGAATCACACTATGTTCATTTATGCTTCTGCATGACAATCCATGGGAAAACCGCATGGGATGTGGAGTGGGAATAATAATATATTGCCTTCGACACAGATGCATCCTTCAGGTAGAGAGAGGCATATCCACTGTGTGATGTAAAACCCTCTAAAATATAATAGGCTGTGTGCTGCTTTCTGTCAAATCTGGGACCTCCCAGACAAAAGCTCATAATCTCTGCTGTCCTATCGTTCAAGACAAAGAGCAAGAATAGTACTAACTACAACAAAATGTCCTGTTGCTAGCATGTCTTTTCTCCAATGACCAACTACTTTCACTGACTACATACAACCCACTTAACTACCATCATTGATCACCTCATAGAGATTGTCAGCAGACAAGCGGATGAGTGTGGGAGGGGTCTGAGTGGAGGGGTGCCAGAGGGCAGATGGGACTCAGGGTCTGAGTGGAGGGAGGAGGGTGGCAGGGGGCAAATGGGGCTCAGGGTCTGAGTGGAGGGAGGAGGGGGGCAGGGGGCAAATGGGGCTCAGGGTCTGAGTGGAGGGAGGAAGGGGGAGAGGGAGGGGCAGGAGGAGCAGGGAAAAGGCAAAGGGAGAGGAGACACTGAGCAAAACACAAATGACACAAAACCAAAACTACTTACGAAGTTTAAGGGGAAGAGTAATACGTTGGTGTCAATTTTTATAGTGAGGTGAGGGGGTGGCAGAAGTTGTCAAATACTGAGGGATTTTGGGTAATACTACGACAAAGACATAGAGAGATAGATAGAGAAGACACCCTCCACTAACCATTTCAAAGTAGAAACTCCTATCGCTCTCTCTCTTTCTATCCGTCCCTATCTCCAACCCACGTCTGTCTGTCTGTGTGTGTGTAGGGGTTCAGCAAGACACCTCCATGGTGTGGCTGACCTGGCCCTCGTTGCTGTCAGAGTGTGTAAAACCCCGGATACGAGAGCTCTCAATGGAGCTGCCACTGGTCAGGGAGGCCGTCCGGGAGCGGAGGCCAAGATGCGGGTCATACTGGCAGAGGGCAACTGAGAGAGAGAGAGAGAGAGAGAAGAGGTGAGAGATAGAGAGAGAGAGAGAGGAGAGAGCGATATAGAGAGAGAGAGCGAGAGAAGATACGACTAGATGAGGATCTCTCTTATAGCTCGAGCGCGCGATTGATCTTTCTCCTTTCTGCCTCTAGATCTGCGAAGCTCTCCTCTCTCGCGCGCGCTCGCTCTCGCGACTCTCTCTTTGAGAGCGCTTCGCGGCGCGCTCGTAGCGCTCTCTCGCTGGCTCGCGTCTCCCCCAACTCTTGTGAAGACCAAGATTTGCATTTAAACAACAGCAAAGCTAAGTCAATATGTGCTAACCGCTGGGAGATATGGGACAACATGCCAATGTGTAAACTGAAAAGTAACACCTGAGCCGCTAATGCGGCAAAGCAGCTAGCTGTAACAAACATTCCTGCTAGCTATGGATGCTTGAGAGTTTATGTAAAGCCATCAACATGTGCCTGCAACTCTGCATGCAGGCACATTCACCCTGCTACAGTACAGCAGAACCATGCAGTGGGACTGCGAGGAAAGTCTGAACGCTGCAGAGGAGTTGATCTCCGTCAGCTCCCCCTCCTACAAGCACTATTCTGTTCCTGAACATATCTGTGAAGATTTTGCAATTGTCTTAGAGGAGAGCTATGACCATTTTATTGCATGGAGAACATGAACCTTGTGTAACAATTACCAAAAATCTCCAACTTGGGAAGTGGTAGTTCTAACACTTTGGGAGCTCAGTCTGAAGGTTTGTTTTCCATTGAGGCACATAATCCCAGTGCACATGCATTGGGATGCTCATCCACTTAGCTGCAGTAAAAGCAGATATTTGCAAAACATGCCTATTGGCTATAATTATCCTTTTAAAATATGGCCAGTTCTATCCTAGTTGTTTCCATGCAAACATTTCTCAAAAAGTTGCTTCACTTGGACACTCCAATGTGCCAATGAGTGTTCAACACTGGATCATAATTAACTGTATGCCATGCAAAGAGCAAGATAAGGAATGCAATGGCAGGGATGGGAAAAAAGTAACAATAGCATATTTTTCCTTAGGCTGAGGAAAAACGCATTTAGAATATAAATACAAAATGTAATAAAATCTTTAAGATTGCCAAAGACCAGAAATCAAATGCTAAAACAAAGAACATTTTTTAATAAGTCAAAAGGAAGATGTGTGATCAGAGCATCATCACTGCACATCTCATGTAGGGGAAGAAGAGAGGAGGTCAGAGGTCAGAGGTGAACAGCAAACAGGAAGTACCTGGCCCTCCACTCAACCTCCGATCCTTCACATACGCAACTGAGAGAAGGCAGGAAAACAGAGGGCAAGATTAACACAACACAGGTCCCTGCAATAGACATCCCATCACACCAAACAACATATTCACAACGTATTCACAACACAGTCAGAACACTATCTCACATTCAGAACAACGCAACGTACAGAGAGTGTCTAACCTCTACGGGTACGGTGTCCCATATACAGGATGGTTGAGCTAACGTGCGCTATTGTGATTAGCATGACTGTTGTAAGTAACAGCAAACTTTCCAGGACATAGACATGTCTTATATGGGCAGAAAGCTTAAATTCTTGTTAATCTAACTGCACTGTCCAATTTACAGTAGCTATTACAGTGAAAAAACACCATGCTATTGTTTTAGGAGAGTGCACAACAACAAACGTATCACGGCAACTGGTTTGATACATTCACCTCTGATGGTAAATAATGTACTTATATTCAGTAATCTTTCTCTGATTTGTCATCCCAAGAGTCCCAGAGATAAAATGTAGCATAGTTTTGTTTGATAAAATCCATTTTTATATTCAAATGTAGGAACTGGTTTCTACAGTTTGAACCCCTGCTGTCTCTGGCTCCACACCCACCCCACCCGGCCATCTAGATGTGTGAAAGTTAGTGTATAAGCTAATGATCCATCATATATGACATTCCTGGGAGTGTGTAAACTTACATTTTGTATTACCATATCATTTTTGTATGTTCTCTATAGTTATGTACTTGAAAATGTATAAATTGACCAATTCGGCACATTTGGGCAGACTTGATACAAAATAGTCCAGTATTGCAATGCTTCACTGGATCAATCTAAAACTTTGCACACACACACTGCTTCTATCTAGTGGCCAAAATCTAAATTGTGCCTTAACTGCAATATTATATTGTGTCCCTTCTCTTTCATTTCAAAGATGATGGAACAAAGAAAATAATAGAAAATGTTTTTTTGTTTGTATTATCTTTTACCAGATCTAATGTGTTATATTGAATGAAGAGATAAACTCAGTCAAGGTAGTGATGCCTAGTTTCTGAAAGACCACAAACCCACACACACAGTCTCATACACTCACTCATATGTGACAAATGATTGTAATCTGCTTCTAGATACTTACTGTAGCCCATCCCCTGGAGGAAGTACTTGAATGCTTCGGACAGTTTTCCAGGCTATAAAACAACAAGGAGAGTGTGGTAAGAAACTTGACCTCCTGAGACTCTGTGTAACCCTGAACCCAGATGAGGTTAATGATCTCTGAGGAGTGCTGTGGTGAGTGCTATAGAGACAACCCTCTCATGGTGGCAGAATGGTTTATAAAAAAGGAACTTGAGGGTCAGTAGAGGGTTATAGGGAGGCCCCATATAGAGAGGTTAGAGGGGCATTTTAAAGAGGAAGTTAGGGGTCATCTGAGAGTTGTGTCAGAAGAGAAACTGGATCAAGTAAGGGGGAAATGGAGGTGGGGCAGAGAGGAAGAGGTATTTGAATGTGTGATGAGAAGACACAGAGGGCCATCTGAAGGCAGTGTTCTGACCTGTGTGAGCTGAGGGAGTCCACCAGAGTCAGCCATCTGAAGCACAACAGGGGAGAACAGGGACAGAACCATAGTTAGTAACTATACAATATCTTTATTTCAAATGGTTTAACAAACTACAGCATGTAAAATCAAAATAATTAACAAATTACTAAATTATTTGAATCAATAAAGACAATCCAATAAAGACTAATAATCTTCAACATTACTTTACACTCATACCTTTAAGAAGGTGGTGTTGGTTGGGTCAAGTTTGGAATTGCATTCGACCTTGAGAAAAACAACAACAGCATATTAAATAACGAGGGCCAATTTGCTTGGATATTAACATTACCACATAAAAAAAACTTGAAATCAGTAGGATTTCAGGGATGTAGATGTTGTGAATGAAAGAGATGCTTGGAGGGAGGCGGGGGAGCAGGGAGGGAGGGATTACCCAGATAATGTAGTCTGCTGCAGTGATCAGTCATTCCAACACACAATAGAGGAGGCTGTGAAGTCACAACCAGGGGTGTGTACATATGTGGGTTTTGGGTAAATCTCCTCTATCTTTCCTCATTGCTTCTCGATACAGTCTCCCCAATCAACTGGGGGGAAAAAAAATTAAAAAAAATAAAAAAAAATTTTAAAACCAAAAAAAAAAAAAATTTTTTTTTTAAAAAAAAAAACCCAAAAAAAAAATTTAAAAAAAATTTTTGGGGGAAAAGGGGGTTTTTGGGGTTTTTTGGGGTTTTTTGGGGGGGGAAAATTTCCTTGGGGGGGTTTTTTAAAAAAAAAAAGGGGAAAATTTTTTTTTTTTTTTTGGGGGGGGAAAATTTTTTTTGGGGGGAAAAAAACCCCCCCCAAAATTTTTGGGGGGGGGGCCCCCAAAAAACCCCCCCCCCTTTTTGGGGGGTTTTTAAAAAGGGAAGGGGGCCCCGGGGTTTTTTGGGGGGAAAAAAAAAGGGGGGAAAGGGGTGGGGGGGGGGGGGGGAAAATGGGGGGGAAAAAGGGGGTTTTTTTAAAAATTTTTTAAAATTTTTCCCTTTTTTTGGGGGAAAAAAATTTTTTTGGGGAAAAAAAAATTTTTTTTTTTAAAACCCCAAAAAAAAAGGGGGAAAAAAAACCCCCGGGGGGTTTTTTAAATTTTTTTTAATTTTTTTGGTTTTTTTTTAAAAAAAACCCCCTTTTTTTTTTTTGGGGGAAAAAAAAATTTTTAAAAAGTTTTTTTAAAAAAAAACCCAAAATTTTTTTAAAAAAAGGGGTTTTAATTTTTTTTTTTTGGGAAAAAATTTTAAAAAAAGGGGGTTTTTAAATTTTAAAAAAAAGGAAAAAAAAGGGGAATTTTTTTTTTAAAAAAAAAAAAAAAAAAAAAATTTTTTTTTAAAATTTTGGGGGGGGGAAGGGGGGGGGGGGGGGAAAAGGGGAAGGGTTTTTTTTGGGGGTTTTTTTTTTTTAAAAAAAAGGGGCCCCCGGGGGGGGGTTTTAGGGGGGGTTTTTTTTTCCCCCCTTTTTTTCCCCCCCCCCCCTTTTTTTTTTAAAAAGTTTAAGGGGGGGGCCCCCTTTGGGGGGAAAGGTTTTTTTCCCCCCTTTTTTTTTTTTTTTTTTTTTTTCCCTTTTTTTTTTTTTAAAAAAAAGGGGGGGGGGGGAAAAAAAAAATCCCAAAAAGGGCCCCCCCAAATTTTTAAAAAAAAAAACCCCCCCCCCCCCCGGGGGGGGTTTTTCCCCCTTTTCTCTCTCTCCCTTTTTTTTAACCTATTTTTTTTTTTTTTTTTTAAAAAAAAATTTTTGGGGTTTTTGGGAAAAAAAAAATTTGGGGGAAAAAAAAAAAAAAAAAAATAAATTAAAAAATTAAAAAAAATTTAAAAAAAAAAAAAAAAATTTTAAAAATTTAAATTTTTTTTAAAAAAATTTAAAAAAAAAAAAAAAATTTTTGGGGTTTTTTTTTTTTTTTTTTTCCCCTTTTTTCGGGAAAAAAAATTTTTTGTGGGGGGGGGGAAAAAAAAGGGGGGAAAAAAAGGGGTTTTGTTTTTAATTCTTTGGGATCTGGGGGAAAAAGGGCTCTAAATTTGGGGGGTTGGAAAATTTTTTTTTTTTGGGGGGGGGCCGGGGGTTTGGCCCCGGGCCCCTTTTTTTTTCCCCCTTTTTTTGGGGGGGGGGGGCCCCCCCCCCCCTTTTTTTGCTTTCCCTTTTGGGGGCCTTGGGGGGGTTTTGGGGGGCCCCCCCTTTTTTCCCCAAAAACCCTTTTATTTTTTTTAAACCCCCCCTTTTTTTTTTTTTTTTTTTTTTTTTGGGGGCCCCCCCCTTTTTTTTTTTGGGGCCCCCCCCCCCTTTTTTTTGGGGGGCCCCGGGGGGAAAAAGGGGGGTTTTTTTGGGGGGGGTTTTTTTTTGGGGGTTTTTTTTAAAAAGGGGTTTGGGTTTTTTTTTAAAAAAAGGGGGGAAAAAATTTTTTTGGGGGCCCCAAAAAATTTTTTTTTTTGGGGTTTTTTTTGGGGGGGGGGCCCAAATTTTTTTTTTTTTTAAAAAAAACTTTAAAAGGGTTTTTTTTATTTTTTTTTTTTTTAAAAAAATTTTAAAATTTTTGTTTTTTTTTTTGGGGGGGGTTTTTTCCCCCCAAAATTTTTGGGGGGGGGGTTTTTTTTTTTGGGGGGGGGGGGGGGGGAAAAATTTTTTTGGGGGCCCAAAGGGGAAAAAGGGGTTTTTCCCAAAGGGGGGTTTTTTTTGGGGGGGGGGAATTTTTTTTTTTGGGGTTTTAAAAGGGGCCCCTTTTTTTTAAAAAAAAAGGGGGGGTTTTCCAAAATTTTTTAAAAAATTTTTTTGGGGGAAATTTTCCCCCCGGGGGGGAAAAAGGGGTTTTTTTTCCCCCTTTTTTTTTTTGTTTCCCTTTTTTCCTTTTTTAAAAAAAAAAAAAAAAGGGGGGTTTTGGGTTGGGTTTTTCCCCCAAAAAAAAAATTTTAAACAAAAATGTTTTTGGTTTTTAAAAGGAAAAGGGGGTTTTTAGGGGGGAAAAAATTTTCCCCCCTTTCCCCTTTTTTTTTTTTTTTTTTTTTTTTCCCCCCTTTTTTTTTGGGGGGGTTTTAAAAAAAACCCGGGGGGAAAATTTTTTTTTCCCCCCCCCCCTTTTTTTAAAAAAATTTTTTTTTCCCCCCCCCCCAAAAATTTTTTTCCCCCCCCCCCAAACCCTTTTTTTTCCCCAAGGTATGTATAGTTGTTTTGTGCTCTAGGGGCAACGGTGTTAGAGGAATTTGTATATGTGGTCCCTGGTCAACGGACCAGTATATGTGGTCCGGTCAACTGGATTATTTTGTCTTATGAGTTTTTACTGTCAGGGCAGGTCTGACAGAATGGCAGGAAGATTAGGTGGCTGGAATGCCCTCTGGTGGGGACTTATGGGTGTCTCTCTTTTAAACACTCTCTTTTCTTATGTTTCTCTTCTCTCCTCACTCTCTCCAGTTTGGAAAAATGAGCACCCGGGTGCTTCAAAACCAAATAGCATCAAATATTAAAGTGACACTCCACGGGAAGAGCCGGGGCTAGCAGAATCGTCCGCTCTTCTTCTCTCACCTAGGAAGCTATCTGGCTCTCTTTCCTATCTCTCGTCGATTCTCCGATGATCTCTCTCTCTCTCTCTCTCTCTCCAGATGAAATGAGCAGCAGGGTGCTTCACACCAAATAGCATCAAATTTTAAAGTGACCTCCATATGTCATATCTCCCTCACTCCCTCCCTCCCTAACAAGGTTGTATAACCTCTCATTCGACTCCTCTCCTATCTCCTTCCCATCCCCTCCTCCCATCATTCAATCTTTCCTAAATTTACTGACCTGCTTCTGTTTCTCTCAGTGAGGGCAAACACTTACCTCTCAGCATGCCAAGTGAGGGAGGGAAGGTGGGAAGGAGGGGGGGGGGGGGGGAGAGGAGGCAGGGAGGGAGGGAGGGTGAGACAGGGAGAGAGGGAGGTGAGACAGGGAGGGGAGGGAGGTTTAGACATGGAGAGTGGGAGGTGAGACAGGGAGGGAGGGGGGGAGGGGTAAGAAGGGAGAGGGGAGGTGAGAAAGGGAGAGAGGGGAGGTGGAAGGGAGAAAAGGGAGGGGGAGGGGACAGGGAGGGGGGGAGGTGAGAAAGGGGAGAGAGAGAGGTGGAGGACAGGGAGAGAGGGAGGTGAGACAGGGAGAGTGGGAGGTGAGACAGGGAGAGAGGGAGGTGAGACAGGGAGAGAGGGAGGTGAGACAGGGAGAGTGGGAGGTGAGACAGGGAGAGAGGGAGGTGAGACAGGGAGAGAGGGAGGTGAGACAGGGAGAGAGGGAGGTGAGACAGGGAGAGTGGGAGGTGAGACAGGGAAAGAGGGAGGTGAGACAGGGAGAGTGGGAGGTGAGACAGGGAGAGAGGGAGGTGAGACAGGGAGAGAGGGAGGGAGTAGGGAGGTAGAGAAGGAAGAGATAGAAATGGAGAGAAGGAATAAGGAGCGGAATAACAGAAGGAAAAGGACTCACCACTCCCTCCTCAGCTGGAGCGTTGTCACCAACAACCAGCATGACAGGGCACCTAGAAACACAGAGCACAGATCAGCAAACAACACAAACACACATACACAAACAGTAAACATGGCTAATCCCAGTAACCTGTTATGAACGATAAGGGTACCTAAACACTATTAGCCAATGACATGAAGAACCATAGAGAATGGACTAGTGTAGTAGAGAGACTCACTTCAAGGTCTTGGCATTGATGATGGTCCCGGTGCGGTTCATCTCCAGATCCCTACGGCTGAGAAGGAGAAGAGAACTGTGAGACACACTGCTTACATTCTCTCACAGAATATAGAACTCTCCCCATCTCCCCATCTGCCAAACACACACACACACACATTCTGAAGTGTGTGTGTGTGTGTGTTACCTGTTGTACATGTTCCAGAAGAGCTGCAGGTTGACCTGGTTGACGGTGTTGTTGATCTGTTGACGGTAGCTCTGGACCAGCTCTGTGTTGTTCATCAGCTCCTCCTGTACAACAATCAACTATTAACACAGGTAGACTGAGAGACTGGTGTCTCTGAAAGGTTTATGAGCATAAAAACCCTGTAGGCTAGTGTTGTTGTTGTATGTAGTACTATGTGTTGCCACCAACTGTTGTAGGTGGGTAACAATTTATCTGGACTGAGAGCTCACCTGGCTAAAGAGGTGGGGCAGCACAGTGTCTGGAAGAGCACTGGTGAGCCCAGACAGCTGGAGAGGAAGAAGAGAAAGAGAGAGAGGGAGAGAGAGAGAGAGAGAGAGAGGAGGAAAGAGAGAGATTATTGCCTTGCACCCATTGCAACAAGAGCAGCCATTTTGATAGTTGGGATAAAATGGCTGCTTTAAAGGTAACTCTGTTTACGTGTTTGTCACAGAGGTGCAGTATCTGCTACCTTGCCGGTGGCCCAATCGATCCATCCCTTCCCGTTGGGGTCGATGTTGAGCAGCACCAGGCCCTCCACCAGATCAGGGAAGATCAGCTGAGGACAGAGCAGAGCAGGGGTGTGTTATGTTAGATACACTTGGGATCATTATCAGGCAACAAAAATATGAAATATGTGGACAAGCAAAGAACAATAACAGGGTATGACTTACAGCAAATTTGGCCAGGATGTAGGCACCAGCTCCAACTCCAATGCCCAAAATGCTCTTGAATCTGGAAAATGAGAATGGTTTGAATTACTTTACAGGTTTATCAGTTGTATTAATTCATTCAAAGTTCAACAATACACTCTTATAAAAAAAGGTGCTATCTAGAACCTAAAAGGGTTCTTCGAGGTAGAACCCTTTTTGGTTCCAGGTAGAACCCTTTTGAGTTCCATGTGGAACCCTTTACACAGAGGGTTCTATATGGAACCAAAAAATATTCTACCTGGAACCAAAAAGGGTTCTACCTGGAACCAAAAAGGGTTCTACCTGGAACCAAAAAGGGTTCTCCTATGGGGACAGCAGAATAACCCTTTTGGAACCCTTTTTTCTAAGAGTGTATGGATGATGAATGTACTGTTTACTAGGAAAGAGAGGAAGGGGAGGCCCACTCACCCAAAGTGCTGCACTACGCTGGGCAACATGCCTGCCAGCTGGTCCATGGTGGGGTACTGGTACCTGTGGAGAGGTAAGGTGGAGACCTTTAGTTAAACAGTCACACGGAAGAGAGAGACAGCATTGTAGAAATTCTTGTCTATATGCATATTCCAGTCAATACAATACAACAACAGAGGTGTGTGGAAACATGCATATACTTGCGTATACGCGTGTGTGTGCATCAATGCTCATGTGTGTGTGCAAGAACGCTCATGTGTGTGTGTGCACGATCGTGTGTGTGTGTCTGTGTGTCTAACGTGCGTGCATGTGAATGTGTAGGTACTATATATTACCCCTGTGGCATCTGAGAGGCTCCAATCTGCTGTCCAGGAGCATCCACATGGCACACCACAAAGTGCTTGGTGATCTCCTGCATGTCCTCGTTTTGGAAGAAGCTGTTGAAGCACAGCTTGTCTGTGGATGGCAGAGACAGAGAGACAGAGAGAGAGAGACAGAGAGAAGAGAGAGAGAGAGAGAGAGAGAAGAGAGAGAGAGAGAGAGAGAGAGAGAGAGAGAGAGAGAGAGAGAGAGAGAGAGAGAGCTAGAGTAAACACATTAAATATGCATTAAAGAGAGCACCTTGAAGGTGGCCATCTGTGCCATTGCTACCCTGTCAGCAGGGAGAATAAATCTCACAGATATGAGAGAATGGCCAATCAGGTTTCACTGGGAGTCATTCCATCCCCATCATCTGGGTGCTTGAGCGGTCTTCCAGTAAGTCAGAGTAAAGAGAAACCAATCTAGTTTGATATACTGCACTTAAACTGAGACATTTAACTGAGTTTATAGGTTGACAGAAGTGCCAACACTCTCTCAGTTGTACAGACCAGCAATTACACCTCTTATATATAGTACCTCTTAAAATCTGCAACCGTATCAACAACTCTGATATCAACAACTCTAATACCAACAACTCTGATATCAACAACTTTGATAGCAACAACTCTGATATCAACAACTCTGATATCAACAACTCTGATAGCAACAACTCTGATATCAATAACTCTGATATCAACAACTCTGATATCAACAACTCTGATAGCAACAACTCTGATATCAACAACTCTGATAGCAACAACTCTGATAGCAACAACTCTGATAGCAACAACTCTGATATCAACAACTCTGATAGCAACAACTCTGATAGCAACAACTCTGATATCAACAACTCTGATATCAACAACTCTGATAGCAACAACTCTGATAGCAACAACTCTGATATCAACAACTCTGATAGCAACAACTCTGATATCAACAACTCTGATAGCAACAACTCTGATATCAACAACTCTGATATCATCAACTCCGATAGCAACAACTCTGATATCAACAACTCTGATACCAACAACTCTGATATCAACAACTCTGATATCAACAACTCTGATATCAACAACTCTGATACCAACAACTCTGATATCAACAACTCTGTTTCCCGCCTCCCACCACCGCTGATGTCCTACTTGTCTTCTGTTTGTGGTGAGTCAGACAACAACAACAACAACAACACTGTTCTGCTCCATGGAGCTAAGAAGGTGATAAAAACACTGAGATGTTCATTCCAGCTCATCAAAAACCAACAAACAACATTACACAGGCTAATTAACCAATAACCGGACGGAAATTAAAAAGCTGAAACGTGATGAAGCTGATGTGTTCTGTGCTATTTAATTTATCTGGCAGCACACAAAGGCAGCGAGGTGATTCTGATTCGCCCACACACAGTCAGCCATAGGGCAATAGAAGACCATTAATCTTCATCCACCGCAGGCGCATTATCTCCCTGTGGAAACCTGACCCATCTCCTCCCCAGCACAGTACAAGGACACAGTACAGGAGCAACAGAGCCATATATAGGCCAGTGTCTCCTCTATTCTGTCTCCTCTCCTCTCCTCTCCTCTCCTCTACGTCCTCTCTCACCCCACCGCTTCTCGCTACTCCATACGATACTCAGTCGCTCCTCCCTGCCTGCATCCGCATCCTCTCCTCTCCTCGCCCTCTCCCTTCCTCTCTCTCCTCTCCTCTCCCTCCATCCTGTATCTGTGTAGACGGAGTCAGGCTGCAGCGCTGTGGTTCCTGGCAATGCATACTAATACCCCCAGCTGCAGAGGGAGGGAGGCAGGCAGAGGGAGGCAGGCAGGCAGTGGAGCAGCTGATCTACAGCGCCGCAATGCTGACCATCCCCCAACAACAACCCCGCCCTGCCTGCCTTCCTTCCTGCCCTCCCTCCCTCACCTCGCTTTAACACTGGATGATAGGGATGTTTTTCTGTCCTACATTTCTCCCTCTCCCTCCCTCTCTTTCTGTTGCTCTTTCTCTTTGTTTCTCTCTCCATCCATCATTATTTAATTATCCACTCCTTTATTGAATTATGGACCACTCTGACAGACAGTGTTATCTTGTGGAATGCAGGTTGTGTAGGCAATTTCAATGGATACACTGGATCTTTTGTTGGAACGTATTTCAAATTGCAGTCAACAGCTACTGGTAATGTAATTTTGTTGTAACGTAGAATAAATACTGTGTTTTGTATCTATGAGTCATTCCGACCCCTGACAAGACTCCATGCAAACTGCAGCAACATTGAAAAGCCGTCTCCATCCACCAATTAGAGGAGCTAACGAGCAGGCTCTGTGGGGAGGTAGTAACAGACATGCTGGGTAAAGCCTAAATCATAGTCCACAGACGCTAGGACACTAGGACGCGATAGTCCGGCGTCCCATTGTGACATACTGTAGCTACAGTGGGGAGAACAAGTATTTGATACACTGCCGACTTTGCAGGTTTTCCTACTTACAAAGCATGTAGAGGTCTGTAATTTTTATCATAGGTACACTTCAACTGTGAGAGACGGAATCTAAAACAAAAATCCAGAAAATCACATTGTATGATTTTTAAGTAATTCATTTGTATTATATTGCGTGACATAAGTATTTGATCACCTACCAACCAGTAAGAATTCCGGCTCTCACAGACCTGTTAGTTTTTCTTTAAGAAGCCCTCCTGTTCTCCACTCATTACCTGTATTAACTGCAACTGTTTGAACTCATTACCTGTATAAAAGACACCTGTCCACACACTCAAGTCAAACAGACTCCAACCTCTCCACAATGGCCAAGACCAGAGAGCTGTGTAAGGACATCAGGGATAAAATTGTAGACCTGCACAAGGCTGGGATGGGCTACAGGACAATAGGCAAGCAGCTTGGTGAGAAGGCAACAACTGTTGGCGCAATTATTAGAAAATGGAAGAAGTTCAAGATGACGGTCAATCACCCTCGGTCTGGGGCTCCATGCAAGATCTCACCTCTTGGGGCATCAATGATCATGAGGAAGGTGAGGGATCAGCCCAGAACTACACGGCAGGACCTGGTCAATGACCTGAAGAGAGCTGGGACCACAGTCTCAAAGAAAACCATTAGTAACACACTACGCCATCATGGATTAAAATCCTGCAGCGCATGCAAGGTCCCCCTGCTCAAGCCAGCGCATGTCCAGGCCTGTCTGAAGTTTGCCAATGACCATCTGGATGATCCAGAGGAGGAATGGGAGAAGGTAATGTGATCTGATGAGACAAAAATAGAGCTTTTTGGTCTAAACTCCACTCGCCGTGTTTGGAGGAAGAAGAAGGATGAGTACAACCCCAAGAACACCATCCCAACCGTGAAGCATGGAGGTGGAAACATCATTCTTTGGGGATGCTTTTCTGCAAAGGGGACAGGACGACTGCACCGTATTGAGGGGAGGATGGATGGGGCCATGTATCGTGAGATCTTGGCCAACAACCTCCTTCCCTCAGTAAGAGCATTGAAGATGGGTCGTGGCTGGGTCTTCCAGCATGACAACGACCCGAAACACACAGCCAGGGCAACTAAGGAGTGGCTCCGTAAGAAGCATCTCAAGGTCCTGGAGTGGCCTAGCCAGTCTCCAGACCTGAACCCAATAGAAAATCTTTGGAGGGAGCTGAAAGTCCGTATTGCCCAGCGACAGCCCTGAAGCCTGAAGGATCTGGAGAAGGTCTGTATGGAGGAGTGGGCCAAAATCCCTGCTGCAGTGTGTGCAAACCTGGTCAAGACCTACAGGAAACGTATGATCTCTGTAATTGCAAACAAAGGTTTCTGTACCAAATATTAAGTTCTGCTTTTCTGATGTATCAAATACTTATGTCATGTAATAAAATGCAAATTAATTACTTAAAAATCATACAATGTGATTTTCTGGATTTTTGTTTTAGATTCCGTGTCTCACAGTTGAAGTGTACATATGATAACAATGACAGACCTCTACATGCTTTGTAAGTAGGAAAACCAGCAAAATTGGCAGTGTATCAAATACTTGTTCTCCCCACTGTACATGGCTCTAAGACCACCATCTGCGGGAGACGTACAGCCCGAACACGCACCTCCCCACAATTCCAAACCAACACGTCTCTGGTTCGCGTCCTCTATTCATTTGAATGTGTTGACTGTTGGAGAAATTGCTTCGGCTGCGCTGAGAATTCGAAAAGTATGAAAGCCAACGGTCCAATGTTCTAGAACACTGCTGTGCGTACGCATACTCGTTTGGTACAGTACTCTGACAGACCCTTAAAGGTAGAGAGAGAGGGTTCTCCTATGGGGACAGCCGAAGAACCCTCTCTCTCTAGTCTGTCTGCACTCTGCAGTGGGCTGGCTGGATGGCTGTCAGGGAATGATATAGCTCCCAGTATGGAGTCCAATTATCACCTCAGATAACAGGCACAACACGTCCTTTGCGGGGCTGACAGCTCTACGGATATAGCTGCCAACTGCCAAGTCACACCATGAACAACACCCTGAGGAAGTGTGGAGAGATGCCTCCTGGAACCAGCTGCAGGTCACCGTTGCGTGACTGATGGTGGTGCAACACAGACGTGAACACACACACATGGAGCACACACACAAAACACGCATGCACACACACACACACACACACACACACAGGTGGAGGGACAGTGTGTACTCACGGTTAAGCCCAACATCGTGGTAGGTGAGGATAGCAGGCTTGTTTCCTTTGGGTGCACCACGAATCACCACATGAAGCATCCCATAGGGAGTCTCAATGTCATGTTCCTGAAACATACAAATGCTTATTTCTAATGGGAATGCATAGATTTACACTCACAGAGACATAATGTACCTCTAGACATACACACAATCTTGGTGGGGTTCAATAGGGTTTTACTGACGAGCACAGACAGTTCCTATCACCCAATAACTATCACTGATATAATAGGCCCCATACTCAACTGTCTGCCTCTGATCAACATAAAACCTTTATGGATTCACATGAGAATTCTGATAGAGGACTGACACTGTGCATATAGAGTATTGGAAATACATGTCTGGCACACAGTATGCGTATAATATTCTGCTCCGGTGAGGGGGAAAAAAACATTCTGTGCAGCATACTCCCACACACTCACTCACACAGAACACACACACAAGCTCACACACACCTCATACACACGCAGACTCATGTACTCACATATACAGTCACACACCCTTATGCCCATACTCACAAACAGACACACATACTGTACACACACACTCACACAGCCAATGCTCCTGTCCCATGGATATAGAGACATTAAACACTGGACACTTCCTGTTTCTTTTATACTGTTTTTCACACTGTGTTTTTATATACTGGATTATTGACATAGTGAATATATCTACTGCTGTACATATCATTCTTAGTATATATTTTCGGTGTATATACTCATATTTTGCATTTGGATTACTGATACAGTGTTATTCGGGTTGTTATCTGGATTCGTTCGGACATTTCTTGATTTCTTGAGAGCAGTGCAGTGAAATGTCACTGATAGGCTGCATCCCAAATGGCATCCTATTCCCTATATACTTTTGACAAGAGCTCTATGGGCCCTGGTCAGAAGTAGTGCACTAAATAAGGAATAGGGTTCCATTAAGGATGCAGCCATAGTCTGTCACGGAAAGTGCTCCCTAACCACGCATCATTCTGACACCCAATATATCTGACAGTATTCTGCATGCACTCAGTGAAGCAATACATTTGCAGGTACTGCAGTACAGTTAATCACCTGTAATATCTGTTGTCTCGTTTGTCTTTGTGTAACATGAATTGCTTGTGTGAACGATTGACAGATACAATGTAGGTCAACAAGGTCAAATCGGGTGCTAAAGATGATGCAGTACACGACTACAGTTTGATAGGGGTTGATAGAATGGGTAAAAATGATTTAGTATTTTCTGTATGGATGCCTGTCTGAAATATCATAGACAAAGACAAAGACCACCTCGGTGGAGCACAATGGACTGCAGATAAAAACAGCGCCTGTATCACATACTGCAAACACTCCCTCAGTCCCTTCTTCTCTCAGTCCCTCCCTCTCATCTTCCTCTCTCACTCCCTTCCTTCTGGCTCCCAAGGTCAGAGAGACATTTGTCCTAGTACGGAATAATTAAGCAACTCACAAGGACATCTCACATACTCTAAGGTCTATTTCCCTGTGTAGACATGCATGTATGGCGGAATGCGTTATTGTGTGTTGCAGCATTAGTGTGTCAGCTTGTCTCCACGCAGAGTCATACATTACATGACTGATCATTAGAGGAACACAATAACAGTACAACAACCATTTCAGTATGCATGATTAACCCATACATAAAATTAGATATTAAAACATAAAATATAAGCACAACTAGAGCACTAATATTTCAACATGAATCTTTCACAGATGATCTTATCGTATGCACTATTATTACAGAGTATTACAACAGCAGGGTAAATCATAGATAGCTAGTCATTTTGATAAGGTATAAACATGATATAAGAACATGCATGAATAAGGTAAGACGGGGGTGTGTATGTACATGCCAAATGAACCTATGCAAAATGTGCCTGTCATACATACCCATGAACAAAAGAGTTTATTAATGAAGATATACTGTAGTAGTGGATTCGCTTCCACTTCATCAAAATATCCTCACTCTATCAACCAAAATATGCAGTCATCCATGCACCAGCAGAAACAATGAGCACACTCAAACAGTCACTCAGTATAAACCTGCAGACACACTACACTGCCACTCACCCCGTCCCAGCATTCAGGCATGTTGCCTCAGTAAGCGTGCTCAGTGGAGGAGGAGGAAGAGTAGGAAGAGCGGCAGGAGGAGGAGGAGGAGCAGCCAGTGGAGACGAGACAGACAGACAGAGCCAGTCCTCTCCTGTAGTGGGACTAGGTCCTGGCTTTAGAGCAGAGCCAGTCCTCTCCTGTAGTGGGACTAGGTCCTGGCTTTAGAGCAGAGCCTGCTGGGAGAGCCTGCTGGTGGTCTCTTTGTCTCGTCTTGTCTCGTCTCGTCTAGCCTCGTCCTGCTCTGGGGCTGAGCGCTGCAGTGCTGCTGCCCCCTCTCTTCCCCCGACACCTTATAAACCCCACCATGAGGGCGTGCTGAACTCAAGCCTATTCGCTGCCAGTGCTGCCTCTCTGTACATGATTGGTTGGCTGCTCTGTCAGTCACAGCAGGTTCTCTGCTGTGCTCTTGTTTTGCTCTCTCATCAGCACCACTGCTCTGTTTCAGGAGAAGATGGCTTATCTCCCTCTCTCTTTCTCTCCATCTCTCTCTCCTTCTCTCTCTCCCTCTCTCTCTCATTGTCCCTGTCCCACCTGTCTAATTTCCTTTCCCATCCCTCTTATCGCTCCTTAACAGTCATGGATGGTGATGCTTAAACAAATGCTTAGCATGCAGTGAGATTTGTTTTTACAAATAAAATTTCAACTGAGAACAATGACGTCTCTCGCTGTCTCTGAGCTAAAAGGTGTGCAGCAGCAGCCAGTAGGCTCCTCCATGCCTCTGTGTAATGGGACATTGATGGGACAGTAAGTGGCCAGAGGTCACCAGCAGAGCGGAGCAGAGTATGTGCATGTGTCTACTCAGAGAGCAGAGGATGATGGAACAGTGCTGACTAGCTGACTACAGATCAATATTGCAGCAGTGGCCTCTCTCCTTCTCTCTGCTGCAGGTTACATTTATTCACACCAGCAGCCATTGTCCATATTCTCCACAACATCAATGTTTTCTTTCTCTCGACAGTATCCCCCTTTCCTGTGTACAGAGAGCTTAGTAAGTTGACACTGTAAACTCTCCCCGTCTCTTTCTCGGTTCCCCATTTCTGCGGAAGAGGGGGATTAACCCACTCCCCGGCTGACTCAACATTTCCCGTCTTCATTAAATACACAACCTTGTTCTCTCACCCATACTCATATGCACTGTCATCACACACACATGCGAGGACACCCACACAAGCAGGAAAACACACATTCATGGACACACACACACATTTACATTTTAGCAGACGCTCTTATCCAGAGCGACTTACAATAGGGAATCGAACCCACAACCCTGGCTTTGCAAGCGCCATGCTCTACCAACTGGCGGCAGGTAGCTTAGTGGGTAAGAGCGTTGTGCCAGTAACCGAAAGGTCGCTGGTTCTAATCCCCGAGCCGACTAGGTGAAAAATCTGTCGATGTGCCCTTAAGCAAGGCACTTAACCCTAATTGCTCCTGTAAGTCGCTCTGGATAAGAGCGTCTGCCAAATGACGTAAATGTAAACTGATCTACACGGGACTATACACTCAATACTCAACCACTGTGGAAGAGGGGAAGTGAGAGAGTAGGGAGAGGGGAAGTGAGAGAGTAGGGAGAGGGGAAGTGAGAGAGGGCCTACAACAGCACCTAGAGCTTCTGCACAGATTCTGTCAGACTTAGGCCCTGACATGACATTTTTTAAAGAAAAAAACAACGGTGTTCCAAAAAAGGTCCAGTTGCCAGGACCACGAATTCAAATTCCATCTAGACACCATTGCCCTAAAGCACACAAAAAACTATACATACCAAGGACTAAACATCAGCACCACAGGTAACTTCCACAAAGCTGTGAACGATCTGAGAGACAAGGCAAGAAGGGCACTCTACGCCTTCAAAAGGAACATAAAATTCGACATCCCAATTAGGATCTGGCTAAAAATACTTGAATCAGTTATAGAACCCATTGCCCTTTATGATTGTGAGGTCTGGGGTCCGCTCACCAACCAACAATTCACAAAATGGGACAAACACCAAATTGAGACAGCAAACTGGAATGCTGTTTGGCCCTAAACAGAGAGTACACAGTGGCAGAATGCCTGACCACTGTGACTGACCCAAAATTAAGGAAAACTTTGACTATGTACAGACTCAGTGAGTATAGCCTTGCTATTGAGAGAGGCCGCCGTAGGCAGAACTGGCTCTCAAGAGAAGACAGGCTATGTACACACTGCCCACAAAATGAGGTGGAAACTGAGCTGCACTTCCTAATCTCCTGCCAAATGTATGACCATATTAGAGACACATATTTCCCTCAGATTACACAGACCCACAAAGAATTAGCAAACAAATCAAATTTTGACAAAACTCACATATCTTTTACGTGAAATACCACAGTGTGCCATCACAGCAGCAATATTTGTGACCTGTTGCCACACGAAAAGGGACAAACCAGTGACGAACAAACCACAAGAAAAGGGCAACCAGCGAAGAACAAACACATATTTATGTTTATTTATTTTCCCTTTTGTACTTTAGCTATTTGCACATCGTTACAACACTGTACAAAGCCATAATATGACATTAGAAATGTCTCTATTCCTTTGAAACTTTTGTGAGTGTAATGTTTACTGTTCATTTTTTATTGTTTATTTCACTTTTGTTTATTATCGATTTCACTTGCTTTGGCAATGTAAACATATGTTTACCATGCCAATAAAGCCCTTTGAATTGAATTGAATTGAGAGGGTAAGTGAGAGAGTGGGGGAGAGGGGGGCAGAGGGGGAGGTGAGAGAGGGGGGAGGTGACACTGGAGGTTTCAGACAGAGATGAGAAAGGAGGTGTCTGGAGGATTAGTCATATAACTCTGATCTCATCACTACGTGGATTCATGTTAAAATAGACTCTGAACATCACGGGCACATAAATCAACTTCTAAGGACTTCAGAACCACTGTGCTTCTGCACTGTGTGAGAGCTGCTGTGTGATAGTGAATGATTCCATCAGTATGTAGTGGTCCCAACTCATATTAGGCTGTGCCATGACCAAACAGTTATTTCTCCTTCTCCCCATCTTCCTCTTCTTCCCTCTCTTCCTCCCAATGAGTCACCATGGTTACATGGGTGAGTGTACAGTGCAGGAGGTTGGTAGCACTTTAATTGGGGAGGACAGGCTCGTGGTAATGACTGGAGCGGAATAGGTGGAATGGTATCAAATAGGTCAAACACATGGTTTCCAGGTGTTTGATGCCATTTTATTTGCGCCGTTCCGGCCATTATTATGAGCCGTTTTCCCCTCAGCAGCCTCCTGTGGTGTACAGTAATAACAACAACCAGAGAAGGATATAGCGAGGAAGAGAGTACGGTATATTGAAAATATAGAGAACAGTTTCAGTACCTTCCAGTCTCCAATGGGCATCAGAGTCTCACAGTTCTCCTTGAGAGACAGAGAGAGAGAGAGAGAGAGAGAGAGAGAGAGAGAGAGAGAGAGAGAGAGAGAGAGAGAGAGAGAGAGAGAGAGAGAGAGAGAGAGAGAGAGAGAGAGAGAGAGAGCGAGAGAGATAGAACAGAAACACAATGTCAACTGACGCTCATTATGACACAGTCACTCTGGTTACACCTATGAGACGCCACAGGGCTGAGAAGGCTGTTCGAGCTGAAGGGATGGACCCAGAGAGTAACAGAGATAGATGCTGTGTGGGTCCAAACAAACAGACAGTAGTTAGAGGACAGGAAAGAGAAGGCTCAGGGAAAGGAGAGACAGAAAGATGCCTTTCCCTGCACTAAGAGTCAAACCAGAACTCAAGCATTCCCCTAGAATGCTCTATAGAGGTTATAGTTGAATCAGACCAAGCATCATTAGAGTAGGTTAAGAACAATAGTCCCCAAACCCTTTGAGATCCTAAAGGTGCAATCATTTATATACAGTGGTTTCAGGAAAGACAAAATGATAGGATTATACATTAAAACATGGATGAGGTGAAACAAATAAGAAAGTTGTCAAATGGTTGCATTATTATCAGAACACAGCAGTCCAGTGATAGATGGTGATGTCATTCAAGACAGTGTTACAGTGATCAGAGACACACCTAGAGAGAATGGGTACGTCATGCACTTTGTTCTCAGAGGAGAGACAGTAGGTTAGTTGTTTCAGTTGGGCGGTCGGACCAGCAGGTGTCACTCTTGTCCTCTGGAGCCCAGATGTGACTGCAGTAGCACAGCATGGTGGGGGAGGGAGCTGTGGCGCTGTGCTGGAGGTGGTGGCTGGATGCATGTTGTTCTCCAGGAAGTTCAACATTTCTCTATATGAAATGATCCTCTGCCTGTCTCTGTGTGTCTCTGTGTGATTACCTGGAAGTATGAAATCCCTGCTGATTCTGTTACTATAGGATGTGTGCCAAGGATTTCTTCCCCCTGTTGTTTGTGGCCCCCATATTTATCTGACTCATCATGTGTTGCAGGTGAGGATAAGCTATGTAAAGGAGCAACCAATAGCACAGCCGAAGGTATCTGAGATTTGGTGCCCCCGCAGGGTGAGGGGACTAGTCCCCCTGCAGGGCGTGTTCTGAGTTTGTAATTACCGGGATGCACCCACTGGTCTGATTGCGGGTCTGGCGGAGCCAGTGCCGCGCGATCACATGCCACCGTTGTGGGGAGCGGCTTGAGGAAGAGGGGGCGGTGAGGGGCGCAGGGCTTGCACAGGGGAGTGCGTTCACACACCACCCTTGGTCTCTCTGTGTCATAAACACAAACAGAGGTGTATTACAGTGGCTGGTCAGTCCACCTCAGAGGTCCAGGCAGGGAGAGGCCTGGAGGGAAGGAAGACTCTACATATGTAGGATCTTAATTTGAGCCAGTTTGCTACAGCAGGAAAATAATCCTGGAACAACAGGAAATGTGAATTATTTTGTGGATTATAATTAATGGACATTTTTTGTAGGGTTTGATACATTTCTTGTTAGGGCAAATCAAGTATAGCATTTTAAAGCGGAAATTACAAACTTTAGAAGCCTTTTTAAACCTTAAATACACTACAAGTTTGCATTTCCTGCTGTGTAGGACCATTCTCATCAAATTAAGATCCTACATCTGTACCCAACAGACCTGGGAGGCCATGACCCACGTAGAGGAGGACAAGAGAGGCAAGGCTGTCTGGATAAGCTGCTGTCATGATGTCATCCTGATCAAATCAAAACATATTATTTTTAAGGAAACAAATTAATCTGGGTCACACATCCACTCCACATAGCTCTTTACTTCAATATGATTAATGATGTGGTCCTCTGTAGCTCAGCTGATAGAGCACGGCGCTTGTAACGCCAAGGTAGTGGGTTCGATCCCCGGGACCACCCATACACAAAAAATGTATGCACGCATGACTGTAAATCGCTTTGGATAAAAGCGTCTGCTAAATGGCATATTATTATATATTATATTATTAATTACCACTATGTAATAATCAGCATTGCATTGATTAACACATTTTTACTTAGCCTCTGTGTTTTATCGGCCACTGTCTTGGTATTGTCTTAGTAATCACTTTCTCCACTCTGTCAATCATTGTCAAGAGTGTCAGTGAAGTGTATAAATTACTGTGACATATTCTCTCAGACAGTTGGGATTTTAATCAATGTGATTAGCACTTATTTTCTCTACTGATGCCACCTCTCTTATGCACCTCATTTTCAGTCACAGCATTCAAGAGTTTACTGAATTACTTATTATGTGAAGAGAGGTATACTGCTGCAGTCAGTGGTTTTTGTAAGACCTTGCAGCATCTCAACCCCCCCCTTCCTTTCACACTCCTAAATATGAATATTAATGCAGTGTATGATTAATCCCTCCTACACAAGTAAACACATTTTCTGTTTTCCAACCAGGACACGCACAAATACACTATTATATCAACTACACACACTTGCACAAAAACAAATTAATATTCTAATGAACGCATGCACTCACAAAATAACGAAGAAGCGCAGACACACACACACACACACAGACACAGGTACGTAAAGAAAACACTCACCATCTCAGTGTCTTGTCCTCTCTGCTCTGGAAGTAGAGGTTTCTCCTCAGTAAATTGCTGCTCCTTCATCCCAGCCATCCTGGAGAGCAACCTGCAATCACCATAGCGATGCACACCTGAGGTTACATAGCCCACTTTGTTACTTTAGTAAAACCTCTGAAATCCATCCACCAACTCAAACCACTGCAGCAAACCCCTATCATATGGTTTCTTCCCCCAATAATTATCTACAGTATATCAACCATGGTTTCTGTGGCTGGGCCTGGGTGTGGGAGAGTCCATTTTCTACTTTTTCCTATATAATTGGTACACCAGCCTCCCAATGTTTTCATAGTCCCTTTATGTTGGACATGTAAAGGGGAGGTCCAGGGATGCACAGTATCTGAATAGAGAATGCATTGTGTAAAGTGCTGGTGTTGGCCTATTGGAAAACAGATTAAACAGTAGTAGCCTGTTCTCTTTGGGTCTCCAGTGGTTTCAGCTCATGGATTGGGTCGCAGACTGTTGAATAAAGCAGGTCTGAGGGCCCAGACAGACAGTCAGACAGTGAGCTTCCCATTAGGATATAATTAAACTCCTGCAGTGTGGCTGAGGTCAGTGGACACAGAGGGGCTCTATCAATTCTGATTGATATGTCCAAACAAGGACACTGCTAAACCCATAGAGAGCAGACCTGACCCGAGCTGGCGCCACTCGACTAAAACATTGGATCACTGATGATATCAATTAGAAGCAGCCAATGCACACATGGACTCACACACACAAGCACACGTATGAGTCCACACACGCTCACACTTGCAGGTAGACATTGCGTATACACATTGTGCATGCATGCACAGGCACATTAACTTGTTCATTGTCAAGAAAAACAAATGCAACAAGATAAAAGAAAGCTTATCGAATAACACATTTAGAGATGAGAAAGGCGTAAAGGTAAAGAAGCAGTAATGAGAGGCTGCCAGCACAATAAGCATGTATGGGGAATATGGAAACCTATGAGACTAACAACTAGTCCTTCCTGGATTAAGTACTTTACTGGCATAAATGTAGACTCAGTTAGCACCAAAACATTTTCTGTTTGAGTCTCCCTACCAAATTGAGTCAGGCAAGGAGGAGCTGTGGCCTCATAAAGATCTAGAAACTGCAACTTCACACCATGACAGGTTGTTTAATGGCTGGGATGCAGTAACAGCTGGACAGCTCGCTCTCTCTCTCTCTCTCTCTCTCTCTCTCTCTCTCTCTCCCTCTCTCTTTCTGTGGCAGTTTCCAGACCTGTCTTTGTGTATAATGAACACCCTTAAACAGACAAAACCCAGATGCAGACACTCCAAAATAAAAGTAATTTGCAGACACTTGAAAACAAAACCATATTCCTCTCTTTGCGACAACACTGTTGCTGTTCTCTGTTTGAAAGTGACCTTTGCATAAGCATGACAATGGGCCCATGACCAGTTTTAATTAGGAACTAACCAGCCACCAGCCTCATCAATCTGCCTGCTTAACTCTATCCCTCCCTCCCTCCCTCCCTCTCCCCCACCCCCACAGCCTTATATAAGATGGCTCGCTGTGAAATCAATTATCATTACACAGTCTATATTTGTCCCTGTTGACACTGTTTCAAACCTACTGATTTGGGTTTAGGTGACTCATTACTTTTATTCGCTAGCTGCTGCTTTATTTAATATTCCCTAAATCCACAAATAGGGTTTTATATTTTCTCTGAGGAACTATTAACATTTTATATTTTAGTCATTTAGCAGACGCTCTTATCCGTGAGCGACTTACAATTAGTGAGTGCATACATTTTCATACTATTCATCGTACTAATGAAATGAAATGAGGTGGACATCATTGACCTAAAATGAGACTGATCGGGAACATCAACTTCACTTTTTGGTGGTGCTGGTGGTGTGTGTGTGTGTGTGTGTGTGTGTGTGTGTGTGCGTCCATTGTGCATCCATGGTCTATGGAGTCAAAAGGATCAAGTGCTACTTCTAAGTCTCTTTTCATCCAGTGTGGGCCGGGGTCACAGAGTCAAAGTGCTGTAATGCGTGGACTGTAAATCAGCTCTCTAAATCTGCTCTTTAAATCTGCTCTCTGCTAGTAAAAAGATGAGGTGAGGTTTATTTTTCTCCATGAGGTTGAAGATCTTCCTTTTATTTGGTCAAGGAGGGTAAAATAAATCTGTCCTCTTTTCTCATCCCCATCTCTCCCTCTCCTCTGTTCTTTTATCGGGCCACGGTTCTACCCAGACTTTGTTGCCATGACAACCCCCAGCTATGCTGTCGGCCCGGCCCGGCTGGGTTCTAACAGGATCTGGTTTAGCTTCTCTTTTCCTTTTAACATCATCTCATTTCCACCAGCTGCTCCCCTCTCCCATCTATTTACCCCCTTAGCTATCTCTGTCTGGCTGGCCGTGCTCCATTCTCACCACATCATGTATATCTAACAGCACTCTCCCACTCTCATGTAGCTCATAGGGTTCAGAGCTGGAAGGGTTTACTGAGAATACATCTCTCTCACAGTCTTCAATTACAGTTGCAGGGGGATAAGCTCATTCTGTGTGACTCATATCTGTGATAGAGAGTGAGTGAGGCTGAGTGCGAGGGAGGGAGCTAGACACAGCCAGTGTCTGAAAGAGGCTAAGGGGAGATGGGGACGACAAGGCTGTGGGAAAAGCATTCTGCTGGACAGGAAATCCATGGGATGTGCATGTGGGGGGAAGCATCTGGCCAAATGCACAAATTCAGAATCAATACCTGGAAACTGGGCCAGGTTCAGCTCTGTGTTATGTGTGTGTACAGTGTGTGTGTACAGTGTGTGTACAGTGTGTGTACAGTGTGTGTGTACAGTGTGTGTCTGTGTGTGTTTGTTTGTGTAATGTATTAGTGTTTGTGTACAGTCAGGATTGTAACTCTTTTTGACAAGGGTTTTTGAACAGTTTGTTTTGCCCATAAATTAAATAAAACTGACCCAGCAGTGATCCCTGAAAAACATCCAGAAAGGCACTGCTACTTGATTCATGATTTTTCAAGCCTCCTCGCTGTCAGTAACATAATTAACTATGGTCCAGCTTATTAATTAGCCATATGGACGATAACATTAGAGAGGATTAAAGGCCAACTCATCCAAAGGAGTAAATGGCCCTTTGCTCTCCGCCGCAGAGAGCACAGACTACACCTTCACGCTTGTGGAATCTAATAACCCAAGAAAGTAAATCAATTAAACACACCAACAAATTAATATCAGAGAGAGGGGAAAGGAGCACAAACAAGAACACTGGTCATACCTGAGGCTTTGCGCTCACTGATAGATATCCTGCATTAAAACATCCCAAATGGGACCCTATTCACTATATAGTGCATTACTTATGACCAGAGCTCTGGTCAAAAGTAATGCACTATATAGGGAAATAGGGTGCTATTTGAGACATAACCAGTGTTCCAGTGTCACTGCTCTCAGATGAATCTCACTGTTTTTATCTCTCTGCTCTCCCAATAATCTGCTTTCACTGAAAACCACTGAAAACCCTGACTGAGGATGTTTTAGTCTACGCAGACCAGACAGTATTCCCACATGTTTGCCTACCAATCTTTCCACTGTATCTGACATCCTCTCTGTCCTGCTTGGTTTCCCCTGTTTCTTTTTGTTCCTAGTGTTGTTTATGAGCTAAGTGGACATATTTGTTCTGTACAAACAGACATTTCCTACAACAACAGAACCATTAAAACTGTAAGCTGTTGAAACATATAATTGAAACATTCAATTATTAATACAGTGATGCATGTCTGAAGAGACGAAAAGCAAACCATTCGCGGGGGGAGCAAGATATCAAACGTGGACTCATGGATTAAAAATGGATCACCAGATATCAGCTCATGGCTGGTATGGCTGGTACCCCTGGCATGGTGCCTCTCATATTTCCAACAGGCTTATGGGCTTTGCCCTGCAGGCCAGCCTACTGTATACCTGTGTCCCAAATGGCACCCTATCCCTATATAGTGCACTACTTTTGACCAGAGCCCTATGGGACATATACCTACAGGACTGGCCAAAAGTGGTGCACTATAAAGGGAATAGGGTGCCATTTGTGAGGCAGCCTATCCCTATCTCTGTGGATGTGCTGCTCTAAGAGCTGGCATCAGAGACAACCTGATAGAACCGTGGCCCCTGAGGAATCCACAGGGCTGTGGTTACAGCCTGCCTGACCTAGCCTGGCCCTGCCTCCTGTCACTAGGTAGCCCTTGCTATGGGACAGAGCAAGCTGGACAGAAGGGCACGGCATATGACTCTCAATGGGACCCGTACACAACAGAGGCAGGGGAGCTCTTAAAACCTTCCTGACCGACCACTACTGTCTCATAAGACTACATTTTTGATCGCTGCATTCGTACTTGTATACCAAAAGATGGATCTCTTAATGATTTTAATATGAAATGTGATAGGCCTACTGTAAACGAGCCAATAGAAAGTACTATAAGTATTGTAGGTAGACATGAAAGCATCTGCCTTACATTTACTGCCCTGATCTTGGAAGCTTATCTCTTAGAAATCCAGCCCTCTTCTTCCACCTGACTCAGTTTTGTTAAAGGTTCCATAGTGGTGGAAACTTACACTTGCCAGAAAATCCTGTTTTATCTCACGGTACAGTATGCTGCCAGGCCATACATCGGCCGTTTCAGATGTCAGCTATTAGAGACAACAGCCTCGCCCAGTGTAGGCACACTCAATAACCAATATGTCAACTAGCTACATCATCCGCTTCACTGAATCCCCCATTCTCTGTCTATTCTAAGCCAAACATCCACAACATCTCGGCCTGTAGCACGCAAGGTCTCTTTATTGCCCCCCCAAAATCAGGTTGTTTGATTGAGCCGGACAATTTGTACTTGAGATACCGAAAACTAAAAGTAGTAAGTATGGTGGTTAGTCTCAGGAAACAAATCCAAAAGCCTAAACAGAGAAAATATGCAACAGATTTCAACTACTTGACAACTAGCTATACCTTCTGCCAAAAGACTATCAAGCAGATGATAATACGGAGTTTGAGACTATACCCACAAACCCCAAAGCGAGGACATGATTAGCATGCAAGTTGTGTGGTACATGCAGTTCCGTCCACTGATAACAACACAGTACAAAAACAGCCATGGCTGGGGTTCAAAGCTGATGGATGGTAATGTTACACACACATAGAGAATGTGTGCTGTGATGCTTGGCTACAGCTCTTCTGACCATCATTAACAGGGCCTTAACGGGGTGAAAGTGAGATACGATTCTTCAAATTATGTCTTGGTCCAGTGCTCTGCTGTGATTGGTCCATGGCTCATGAGTCTCTTTCAACTTTGCCAAAAAGTGCTTAATGACTCACAAGAAATGGTCCAACACCGAGCAGCAATTGGATTCATGAGTTGTGGTCCAATGCTCTGCAGTGATTGGCCATTGGCTTGTACTCCAGCACACTAAGTTACGGTCCACAAGCTAGGCCTTGGTGTGGAACACTGCAGTCATCAGCCCATTACTTCAAGAAGGACGGACAGTGAATGGAAGTAGCAATGGACTAGATGCCAAAAAGACAACTTAAGGAAGCTATATACAGTATATGCACTCCATTCCAGAAGGCACTACGTACATTGTCTGCAGCAGGCTCTGCGGCACCGTGCAGCCAGCCTTTGAAGAGAAGTTCCAAAACAATCCGGGCCCCATCTATCAGTACAAAATAAAATCATCCATTGGAGATTGAAAGAGAGAGGGGAAAAAAGTGAACAGCAAAGTTTAAGCCATATCTTCATGACTCATAGGTTGATTTTTACAGTGATAGGAACAGAGCAGCTTTATTTGGAGGAACAAACACACTGGGTATATTGCTCTTTGTAATTGTATTAATATCCAGGAGTAGCAGAGAAACAGACCTGATCCCATAAGATACAGTGGGCCTTTGTTGAGCTTGCATATGCCAAAGGACAAAAAGTGAACCTGATAACTGTTATTTTTACACTGTACAGGGTGATAATAATAATTTACATCCTAATATACCGTGTGGATTAAATAACAGGGACGTTGTGTCTAATGTCCAATTGTTAAAGCGTTTGATCCTATAATCAAATGTACAGTATTAAGGTTCTGCACCAGTCTTATATAAGACAATGAATTGGGGCTGCACCAATATGATTTCATATTATCTTGTAGACAGAAACTGTACAAATGAACAGGACATATTTCTCACAGGGTGAAAATCATACATATCAGCATTTACCTTCACCACAGACCAGGAGCATGTCATCATGTTGCTGACATTCAGCCTCAGATCTCTAAGTTTTGCCTACAGGTCCCAGTGTGCAACTACCATTCAACAAGGGAGGCTGCCATGCACACACAGCATGTAAATTAACATCTACAGACACACACAGGTATCAAAGGAGCGGTAACAGATATCCAATTTAAATGTCCTCTGATGAACTCCTTATTGAGACTGTAGAGCTTGGAACACAGTCTATTTGGACCAGAATATAAACTTTCCTGTCTCTATCAGTCTCGATCTCTGCCACATGCAATGGCCTCAGATATGAAGTGTGGTCCGTTTGTGATTAGTGTGGCTGCTGGTTATTGAAGGGTAGGGTACAACATAAACAGTGTTCTACGGCTGACACACAACTGAACATAACAACTCAAAGCAGTTCGCTGTTCGCTAGTCTCTTTAACTGGAAAGCAGAAGGCCTGCACCTGGTAAGAAAGTTGGCTGTATATTCTCTACATGACTTATTAATACGCAGGCTGCCAGGGATGTCTAAAGGCAGCACTGATTTATATGACGCACTCCTTTTTCTAGGGTTAATAAATTCAACCTGACGACCTCGTACTAGCGCCAATGCAGAGGCTGGCACACTGTCCTACAGCACTGGGACACAGTCAGAGCCTCACTTATACAGCTAGGAGGAGACAGTAGAGGATCTGGGGGGCTATTGCCTCTATACTGTATGTGCAGTCAATTCCCTCTTCCATCATCTATGTACTATAACATCCTTACGCACAATCAAAGAGTTAAGTCAAGCTTTGCAAAAATGAGTTCCGTCATTCTATCTCATGTTGGTCTTTCGTTATCTGATCCAAACTGAGCACAGTGAACATACAGATACATAAGAACTTACCTGATGTGGTGGTTTGAGCTGCTAGGGTGTCTGTTGTTGCGTCTGGATTTTGCAGTGTGTCTGTTTCCCTCTCTCTTTCCCCCAGTCTGTTCCGGTCTGTGTGTCTGTGTGTCCTACAGATAGAGGCTGTCTACTCTATAGGTTCTCTGCTACCCTCTCATCCACCCTCCCTCCCTCTTTCTCTCCAACTCCCTCCCTCCCTCCCTCCCTCCCTGATAATAAACAGAGAGCACGTGTTATCCCCGATGATGCAGCATGAGAGCGCCGCCACACTAAAAGATCAGAGGCAAGGGAGGAGTGGAGAGGGGAGAGGGGAGGTGAAATTAAATAGGGAAGAGAGAAAGTGATGGGAGGTAAATTAAATGGAGGATAGAGATAAGGAGAGATGCTGATAGCCTGATGGAGAGAGGGATATGGTCATAAAAGTGAGATTTAGAGTGATAGAAGATAAAGGATGGAAACAGATCATTTTGGGGTAACAATTATTGCTCTTGAAAAAAGAAGAGTGAAGCTTCCACTGCACCAATAAGTTCACAATCATGAGCTTCTGAAGTCTATTTTTAACAACACCCACAAAATGACACAAAAAATATAGTACATATGAATGTATTATTCCCTTTGACACATTTCAACTCTAGGCAGCCTCTCTCAGGCTCCCTCACAGGCATAAACCAATACAATGGGCTACTAGGGATCAGCCGGTTCTCCTTTGATATCAAAACACAGAGGACATCATGCAGACAATATTGGATCTGTGTTTGTTTGCTGAATCCAGAGAGCATACCCCATCACATCTCTCCCCTCTCTGTCTCTGCACTCTGTGGTCCCTTACGTCTGGATTAATGTATGTTTTCTTCATTTCAAATTGACAAAGTGACCTACTTTAGAACATTACTGATTGACTGACGAGACACAGAGTGTTATCAGACTGACTAGACACAGTGGTATCAGACAAGATGGAGCGATTGCCAAAATGGAGAGTCCTCTCTTTCTTATCTTGTTTATCTCAGCTAAAAGGAGACTGTTTGTATGCAATAATTAAAAAGGGTTTCAAATATGCTTATGTCTAACGTATGAGAATATAATCATGAAATGTAATCATTACTGTAAATTACATTCAACATGTTTTTCTCCTTTAATTGAGATAAATCACAAATTGTATTTGTTATTGTATGGTATTGCTCTTAAGAGATATATAAATCATAAGCTATCTAGAGATAGGTCTACACTGTTGGAATGGATGTCTGTGGGGCATTTGCTATAATTTTCCCCAGTTAGAGGGAAGAGGAAGAGTTGATAAGATTGAACACCACCATCAGCTTAACCTGGGCGATTGATTAGACTGCTGCATGATGACCAGCCTATTGAATCAATGTGTCCTGGTTATTGAGTCATCCCTCTGCGTGCCTGGCAGACATCTTAGCTTGGTTGTCGGCCCACCACCTCAAGCTCAACAAGACAGAGCTGCTCTTCCTCCCGGGGAAGGCCTGCCCGCTCCAAGACCTCTCCATCACGGTTGACAACTCCACTGTGTCCCCCTCCCGGAGTGCATAGAATCTTGGCGTGACCCTGGACGACCCCCTGTCATTCTCTGCAAACATCAAAGCAGTGACTCGCTCCTGCAGGTTCATGCTCTACAACATCCGTAGTGTACGGCCCTTTGATCCTTCCTCACACAGGAAGCGGCGCAGGTCCTAATCCAGGCTCTTGTCATCTCCTGTCTAGACTACTGAAATTCTCTGTTGGCTGGGCTCCCCGCTTGTGCCATCAAACCCCTGCAACTTATCCAGAACGCTGCAGCCCGCCTCGTATTCAACCTTCCCAAGTTCTCCCATGTCACCCTGCTCCTCCGCACACTCCACTGGCTTCCAGACGAAACTCGCATCCACTACAAGACCATTGTGCTTGCCTACGGAGCAGCAAGGGGAAATGCCCCTCCCTACCTTCAGGCTATGCTCAAACCCTACACCCCAACCCGAGCACTCAGTTCTGCCACCTCTGGTCTCTTGGCCGCCCCACCCCTATGGGGGGTCAGCTCCCGCTCAGCCAAGTCAAAGCTCTTCTCTGTCCTGGCACCCCAATGGTGGAATCTGCTTCCCCTGAACCTAGGACTGCAGGGTCCCTGCCCATCTTCCGAAAACATCTGAAACCCTACCTCTTCAAAGAGTATTTTCCTACTAGCACTGGCTTTGCTGATAACTACCTTATTGAGGGAAAATGTACTTGCTACAACTGTGATATGTGGTTGCCTCAACCAGTACCTTGACTCTTGAGATGAATGCACTAATTGTAAGTCAATCTGGATAAGAGTATCTGCTAAATGACTAAAATGTCAATGTAAAATGTCTGAGAACGGTGTGCGTTGCTATGGCTCTACAGTCTATTGTCTGTTTTGACTGAGGCAGACACCTCAGAAATGTCTCATGCAGCTCCTGACAGGCTGTCAGACTCAATCAGTTGCTCACAGATGAGGATGTGCACTTTAAAGAGGTATGTAGGACATGTCTGTACAATTGTATGCATTCGTGAGAGAGGTGGTAGTAGTATAGTGGGTGTGATGTGACTTACTGGTAACTGCCAAAATAATGGAAACACTTGAGTAAATGAGGGATACAAAGTATATTGAAAGCAGATGCTTCCACACAGGTGTGGTTCCTGAGTTAATTAACAATTAACATCCCATCATGCTTAGGGTCATGTATAAAAATGCTGGAGAGGCCATTATTTTGTCTACATGGCTATGCATCTGTCTGCTATGCCCCCATCCAAAGGGCACGAGTGGTCACTGAATGGTTTGTTGAGTATGACAATTATTTAAACCATATGCCATGGCCGTCTCAGACACCAGCTCTCATTTACATTACATTTTTGTCATTTAGCAGACGCTCTTATCCAGAGCGACTTACAGTTAGCGCATACATTATTTTATCGAACCCACAACCCTGGCGTTGCAAACGCCATGCTCTACCAACTGAGCTACATCCCCTGCCGGCCATTCCCTCCCCTACCCTGGACGACGCTGGGCCAATTGTGCGCCGCCCCATGCTCTCAACCCAATTGAACTCTTATGGAAGATTCTGGAGCTGCGCCGGAGACAGCGTTTTCCACCACCATCAACAAAACACAAAATTATGGAATTTCTCGTGGAAGAATGGTGTCGCATCCCTCCAATGGAGTTCCAGACACTTGTACAATCTATGCTATGAGCATTGAAGCTGTTTTGGCTTGTGGTTTCCTTGATTTTGGCAGTTACCTGTATATCTACACTAGCTACACACAGTACCAGAGTTCCAATTTATTTTAGGTTCAGTGAGGTTACTGTTTTGAGCAACGAGTGCATACAATTGTATAGATTGGCAGAGTGTACCACCACAGCCTGGTTGTCGACCACCACCATGAGTGAGGAGTGTTATTTTGAATTATTATACACTTATAGAGTGACATGTGTCACAAAGCTGTAATATCAAAGTCTCATAAATAATCTGTCTAGCATCCTGAGGCTGCCAGGGCAGTCAACTTGGACACAGTCCTTCGTCAGAGCCCGCTTTACTAGAAAAA